GGGGGGGAAAGATCTACGCTTTTTTAAAGAGTAAAAAAAAAATAATACTAATAATCGATTGTACGTTGTAAATAAATGTATCGATTTATCGGAAATCGATTTTATTATAACCGACTCGCCCCCGATGAAAATTAATTACCATACAAAACGGGTTGATTTACGTGGAATTGATCGATGAAATCCTTTGGAAATTGTACATAATAATATACAGGGTGGTTCTGAAATGAGTGGTCGAACATTGGGAGGAAGTAGAGTGTTTCAAAATATGACAAAACTTAAATGTCATTTTATCGAAATGTCGAATTTTTGAAAGAATTTATTCCTACTAGTTTTTTAAAGATGACAAAATAGTTTAATAATTTTGAGTATTAGAATTTTAAAAGTAATTTTTCGTGAAAACGGTTCGCTTTACAGAAAATCAACAAGTATACCTTTTTTATGTAAAAAACTTCATATTTTCATATTCTTTAAACGAATCAATAGAAAAGGTTAAAATAAAAAAGTTAGGTTAGAATTACTCCACAAACCCCCCATTTTAACCCACCCCTGGACAACTTTTTGAACCCTATTAAACAGCACCGTAAGACATTTCATTTGCTTAGTACTTGTACAAAATTTCATCATTTTATCTTCACTATTAACGAAATTATTAATAAAAATCCATCTTCAAGAATCCATCTTTAACACCCTGTATAGCGATAACCAATGACATTTCGATAAAATGACATTTAACTTTTCGTCATATTTTGACGTTCTCTACTCGCTCCCAAAGTTTGACCAACTTATTTCGGAAACACCCTGTATATATTCCATTTACCACGAACTGTGATATTAAATCGTAAGTCAATAATAAAATTATTGCGTATATAAATTGAATGTAAACTTTTAGCGATTTGTGTTTCGTATATAATTGTGCATATATTTGTTGTATAGGTAGATTATATATTATATTTTTTATGTTGATTTTTTCGTTTTTTGGGAATTATAATTAATGTTGTTAAATGATGGGGAAAATAAATACGAGAGAATCTAAATTAGTCTATGTACCTGTTTCGATGTACGAAAAATCAATTGCAAGAGTATAATTTAAGTAGTTTTTTTTTTATGTAAACAGCCGATATAAAGAAAAATCTAAGAATTTTCTAAAATTGTACACTGTAGAAAGTTCTATTGCATTTACAAAAAATACCTAATTAGGGCTGTTTTTCACAAAACTTGACAACATTCCATTAGGGAAAAATGCACGAAAACATAGAAATTTTAGCTACACTTGGCAACATATTGCATTAGCGATAAATCCATAAGTACACCGAAAGTTTCCTAAACTTGGCAACATTGTATTAGCAAAAAATCTTTTTCAGCAAATTTTTCACAAGTTGCCAAAACGGTTTGTAAAAAAAAACAAAATATATCGAAATTTTTGTTAAAATTGGTAACACTGCATTAGCAAAAATTTCCTAAATATACAGCGAAATCTATTTTTAGAATCGTATAGATAAAAATATAAAAGTTTAAACCGGTATTTTCAAACAATAGAAGAAATAAACTTTAAATTAGAAAGAAATATTAACTCACCTATTTTGTTGTCGAAAAATCTTGAAGGTCATCGTAATTGTTCGTTAATAATCCCATTAAACGAGTGTAGCATGTCCAATACTGCAATTAATTGTTCCAGAACATCACTATCACTATAACGAACAAGAACTAACTAAACACTAATAACACTGAGAACTGAAAACAATCAAAATAAATCACTAAAGTTTAATTACAAAAATCTATTTAATTTAACCCCGACGTTATAAAGAAAATAATACAATTCGAACTAGAAAACAATCGGTATCGGTAAAGTTTCGGAAAACTGGAAGACGGAGGGGGAAATTTTCGCTCGATGATAAATACACCTTATCAGTTTTTTTTTTAATTAAAATTCCGATAAGCTGACTATTCAGGCCAGGATTGTATTCGCTCTTTTTATACAAGGTGTTCCTAAATATCGTGTACATCCGAAAGGGGGTGATTCCTTGGATTATATTATGACTAAAAGTTCATATGAACATCTACAGGGTGTTGAAATTTTATTTTTTTTTGGTTTTTTCTTTGCAGCTCCTGCACTTTTTGTGATATTTAGGTCAGATTTTGAATCTAGATTGCTTTATAGGGCACACATTATAGGGTATGTCAGATGGTTGTTGAATTCTACTGGGTGATATTTTTTTAGGGGTCACGTACCCTTTTTCCCCCCGAACTTTTTTACTGTGCGCCGCTGGTAGATTCCTAAATACAAAATTAATTGTCTGTTTTGTTTAGAAACTTTTTTATTTTTAAACTTTTTTCGTTTCTGTGACCGTTATCGAGAAAAAAATTAAAAACGATTTTCTGTACAAATGATTTATTTTACAAATCAAAAACCCTAAATAATATTTATTAAATTACATTATAATAAATGTTGAAAGTGACCCCCTCCTACTCAAATTATACTTTATACCCTATATCCTATACCTAATTTGAGCTAAATATCTCAAAAACTGCAGAAGCTCTAAAAAAGAAACAAAAAAAAATCTTAAAATTTCAACACCCTGTAGATGTTCATATGAACTTTTAGTCATAAAATAAACCAAGGAATCACCCCCTTTCGGATGTACACGATATTTAGGAACACCCTGTATTTATGTCTAATGGCCCTATTTTGTTTATTATAATTTTTTTTAGAAAAATAAAATCTCCGAATCGGTCTCAAATTATGCAAATTACCACCCATAGAATTTAGTGCCATAAATTCGAGAACACTCTGTATATATTTTTTTGAATGATTTAATTCTCCTTTTTAACATTTTCCATCACCTCTTGTTAATATTAAATTAAATTCAGCAGGGATTAAACTTAATCTATTTTGTGTATTTATTTTTAAAAGTTGGTTACAATCGGGACTTTAAGGTGCGTTCGATGATACATAAACGAAAACATAAATTGACATTAATGACATTTCGTATGACAGAAGTTTAATAGAGGTGCGTGAATCGATTGTTTGGTGTAGAGATGCAGTAACGACCGTTACAAAATAACTGTTACTTATTAGATATCGTTTACCCGATAACCCTACTCTATTCTACTCTATTTTACTCTAATCTAATTGATTTTTCGTACGTATATCGATTCGATTGTGCTAAATAAATACCTTTATTATTCCTTCGGTGTATCATCAAAACGATCCCGAATGATATTTTTTTTTTTCGAATTTCGTGTCGAGTCAATTAAATTCGAAATCGGCCGCGGGTTTTTTTTTGCGCTAAGAAAAAAAAAATCGACTTTTTGGTGATTCCCCGGCGGTAGAAAATAGAAAAAAAAAATGTCAAATGCCGATTCTAATCTTATATATTCTACATAAAATAAATTATATACGGTCTTCTAGTCAATTGAAATCTTTTTAAATCTTAAGAACTTTTGTATATTCTAATGAGAAGTTGATTTGTGTACCTTTCGTGTATTTACCTAATTAAAATTCTATTGTATGTTGATTGTTTAAATAAATAAATAAATAAATAAATAAATTTAAAAGTGTTTCCTGAATTTTCGTCGAGTTTTGCTGGGAAATTTGCAATCCCACCGCAATATCACTCTTTCTTTTTCCTTTATACGAGACTAATAATTGAAGTTAGAAAGTCTTTGTTGCACCCATATAAACTGTATTACGAGGGTAGGATGAAAAGTTCTCGGTCTGATATATTTAGAACTGTCTAGAATAATCTAGAATCCTCCATAATCATTTAGAAATATCTCTAGAACCATTTATACAGCTCCAGAATCGTTTAGAAATATCTAGAACCATTTATAAAGCTCCAGAATCATTTAGAAATATCTCTAGAACCATTTATAACGCTCCAGAATCATTTAGAAATATCTAGAACCATTTATAAAGCTCCAGAATCATTTAGAATTATCTAGAACAATCTAGAATGCTCCAGAATCATTTAGAAATATTTCTAGAACCATTTATAACACTCCAGAATCATTTAGAAATATCTAGAACCATTTATAAAGCTCCAGAATCATTTAGAAATATCTAGAACCATTTATAAAGCTCCAGAATCATTTAGAAATATCTCTAGAACCATTTATAACACTCCAGAATCATTTAGAATTGTCTAGAACAATCTAGAATGCTCCAGAATCATTTAGAAATATCTAGAATCATTTATAAAGCTCCAGAATCATTTAGAAATATTTCTAGAACCATTTATAACGCCCCAGAATCATTTAAAAATATCTAGAACCATTTATAACGCTCCAGAATCATTTAGATGAACTGTTAGAATCATTTATAAGCACTCCATAGTCATTCAAAATGCTTCAGAATCATTTAAAAATGTCCATAATCATTTAGAACGATTCAGAATCATTTAAAACTGTCTCGAGCCATTTAGAAACTATTTAGAACTGTTTAGAACAATCTAAAAAGCTCTTGAAACATTTAGAACTGTCTAGAATCTAGAATCATGTTCACTTAAGAATTATTTAGGACTGTTCAGAACCATTTAGAACACTCCATAAAGTCATTTAAAACTGTCGAGAACCATTTAGAACGCCTCAGAATCAATTTAGAACTGTCTCGAACTAAATATTTCGACTTATTAATAAGTATAATGTAATTTTTCAACAAAGAAATCGCGGTAATTCTTGCCAAGTTGAGAACTTTTCGCCTTACCCTCGTACAATAAAACCATATACTTGCGCAGCACAACATTGGCTGTGCAACCGAGGTAAGAGGCCAATAAAAAAATAACTGTCACATGTCAAAACGACTAAACGCTACAAAATGGGAAAACCTGTCCGAATAACCCCAACAGTTCAGATCGTATTAGGTTAGAATCAGCAAGAAAAAGAAGAATTTGCTTACGTCAATATGTCATTCGATCAACGTCAAATTGGACTTTTGCTAAAAGTGTAAGAAGTAAACTGGCCGGATGCGACATAACGTAAGAGGCCATGTAACTAATAGATGGGAAGAAGAAGAAATAGAAACGTCAAATTGGTGAAATTGGTAAATAAACGTAGTAAAAATGAATATTTTACCAAAGAAAAGGTACCAAAACATCCACATAACGCAGAATAATGAATAATTAATTTAATTCTTCGATTCCAGATGGCACGTACGCACGAGAGAGAACATAGCGCGAGTAAGAAAGGACGAGGCCAAAGCCCTAGAAGAACAAAAAGCCATCGAAGAACGAATAAAACTAGCCGTAAACGCGACAAATTCCCCCAAAAAAACTCCCCAAATTAACCGCCGATTTTCCAGGAACGCGAATCCAGAAGGTCCTTCCTGTTGAAACGAAGCCGCTCCTCCGCCAATTCCGCCTCTAACTTCACAACAACCCCCCAACAGGGATCATCTCAGCATGTAAACCTCTTCGAAGAGCTCGAAGAGGGCGTGGCGGAGCAAAAGGAAACCAACAAAAACCACGAACAGGAGGCGAAAGAGGAGAAGGAGAAGTACGAGAAGCAAATCGGCTACCTAACCTACCTCGGTCAAGACACCAACGAAGCCTCGGGCAAGAAGAGCTGGTACGATGTGGCCCCCGAGAGGTCCACCGAACGAGCAGAAATCGCCCTAAAAAGCAAGTTAAGAGAAGATCCTTTGAACGAGATAAGAAAACACACCGCTCGAGTCGATGTAAGCGCAAAAACGAAGCCTTCGATGGGCGAGAAAACGCGCGAAAAATTCAAACGGAGCGAGTCGAGATCGAGACAACGCGAGTCTGAGGATGAAGCTGAAGAAACGGAGAAACGTCGAAGGATCGAATTGATGCGAACGAAACGATTGAAACGGGAGAACGAGGAACGATTAAGGACCGAAGCTTTGCTGGCCAAAATTCGAGGGGATGATAAAGAGCAGCCGAAGGAAGTGAATGGCTTTAGAGCGAAGTATAATTCTCAGTTCAATCCGTATTTGGCTAAACAAAATTATAGTAAATAAAATAAAACGGTTTATATGAAACCAGTTAGACTAAACAGTTATTTTGGACGGTCTAGAACGCTCCGGTATCATTTCAAAACTGTCTAGAACCGTTTAGAACACTTTATAGTCATCTAGAAAGCTTTAGAAGCATTTAGGATTGACTAGAACCATTTACAACGCTCCAGAATCGTTTAGAACTGTCTAGTAGAGCCATTTAGAAGGTTTCAGAACCATACTAAACGCTCTAGAAGTCATTTGAGAACGCTCCATAGTCTTTTAGAACGCCCCAGAACCATTTATAACTGTCAATAAAAATTATAAAAATCATTTAGAACGCTCCAGAATCACTAAGAACTATCTAGAACAATCTAGAATGCTCCAGAATCATTTAGAACTGTCTAGATCAATCTAGAACGCTCCAGAATCATTTAGAACTGCCTAGACCCATTTTAAACGCTCCATAGAACCGTTTAGAACTCTTCAAAACTATTTAGAATGCTCGAGAACCATTTAGAACGCTTCAAAATCATTCAAAATGGTCCGTAGTAATTTAGAATGCTCCAGAAATCATTTAAGAATGCTCCAGAAAAAGGATTTAAAAAGGAAAAACGAGGAACGATTAAGGATCGAAGCTCTACTATCTAAAATTCGAGGCGATATTAAAGATCCGCCAGAGGAAACTCAAAACTTTAGAGTGAAATATAATTCTCAATTCAATTAGAACTGCCTAGAACCATTCAAAACGCTCAATAGTAATTTAGAACTCTCCATAGTAATCAAAGAACGATCCAGAACTATCTAGAACCATTTAGACCGCTTCAAAACTATTTAAAATGTTCCAGAACTGTTTAGAACAGTCTAAAAACATTTAGAACCCTCCAGAATCACTTACAACTGTCTAGAACAAAGTAGCATGCTACAGAATCATTTAGAATGCTCCATAGTAATTTAAAATGCTCCAAAATTGCTCCAAAATCATTTAGAACAGTCTAGGGAAATTTATAACATTTCAGAATCATTTAAAAATGTCTAGAACTATTTAGAACTATCAAAAACCATTTAGAACGCTTCATAATCATTCAAGTTATTTATAAGAAACCATTTAGAATGCTTCAGAACCAGTTAGAAAGCTCCATAGTCATTTTGAACTGTCTAGAACGCTCCGGAATCATTTAGAATTGTCTACAACTATTTAGAACTGTCTTAAACCAATAAGAACGCTCCATGGTCATCTAGAATCCTCCAGAATCATTTAAAACTGTCTAGAACCATTTAGAAACGTCTAGAACCATTTACAACGCTCCATAATCATTTCGAACTCTCCAGAATCACTTAGAACTGTCTAGAACAAACTAGAATACTCCAGAATCATTTAGAACTATCTAGAAACGTTTTAAAAAGGAAAAACGAGGAACGATTAAGGACCGAAGCTCTACCATCCAAAATTCGAGGCAATAATAAAGACCCGCCGGAGCAAACTCAAAACTTTAGAGCAAAGTATAATTCTCAATTCGATCCTTATTTGGTTAAACTAAATTATGACAATTAAAAAAACCTATTTATAACCTAATTTTATACCTATTCATACTAAATCTCGTTTTCTTTGCTGTATTCCTCTTGAGATTTCTTAGCTTCCAGTTCTTTTAGTTGCTCCAGAGTGAGCAGGGATACCCCCAATTGGTCTTCTCTAGTGAAGGGCTGGGCCATTTGTCTCAACCAACGTTTCGCGATCTACGAGTAGATACAGGGTGTTAATTAATTATATTATTTAGTGTATAAGTTTTATTTAATGGTTTGAATAAACCTTTTTCCCGAAATTAGTACGGTAGATTTGCTACTAGAGGCAGCACTTGCAGCATAGGGATACTAGGGATGCTTAATACGAGGGTAGGATGAAAAGTTCTCGGCTTGAATCGTCTACAACGCTTCATAGTCATTTAGAACGATCCAGAATCGATAAGAACTGTATCCACACAATCTAGAACGCTCCATAGTCATTTTGAACTGTCTAGAACGCTCCAGAATCATTTAAAACTGTCTAGAACGCTCCAGAATCATTTAGAACGGTCTGTAGAACCATTTGGAACGCTCCATAGTTAATTAGATTACTCCAGAATCATTTAGAACTGTCTAGACCAATCTAGAATGCTCCAGAATCATTTAAAACTGTCTGTAGAACCATTTGGAACGCTCCATAGTTAATTAGAATACTCCAGAATCATTTAGAACAGTCTAGGGCAATTTAGAACATTCCAGAATAATTTTAAAATGTCTATAACAACCATTTAGAACGATCCAGAATCATTTAGAGCTATCTAGAACGCTCCAGAATCATTTAGAACTATCTAGAACAATCTAAAATGCCCCAGAATCATTTGGAAATGTCTATAGAACCATTTGGAACGCTCCATAGTTAATTAGAATACTCCAGAATAATTTAGAACAATCTATGGCAATTTAGAACATTCCAGAATCATTTTAAAATGTCTATAACAACCATTTAGAACGATCCAGAATCATTTAGAGCTATCTATAACGCTCCAGAATCATTTAGAACTATCTAGACCAATCTAGAATGCTCCAGAATCATTTAAAACTGTCTGTAGAACCATTTGGAACGCTCCATAGTTAATTAGAATACTCCAGAATCATTTAGAACAGTCTAGGGCAATTTAGAACATTCCAAAATCATTTTAAAATGTCTATAAGAACCATTTAAAACGCTCCAGAATCGCCGGTATTTCATCATCGCCACGCCCGAAAACCTTTCACATCACCCTCGTATTCGGTACTAGGATTAAAAAAAAAAGGGGCTCATTGTACTAGCTAATAACTAGCTTCTAGTCGTCTTACCTGCACGGCCTCCTCGGTGGACAAATTACAATAGGAATCCTTCAGGTGTTCCTGGATCCATTTGGGCAATTTGGACCGTTTATCGGACCTGGAGAACCTTTTATCGGCGAATATCATTATGCCGTAATCGGTCTTGCCTCTGATGGCCCTTCCGACGCATTGGGCGGCGTGTCGCATCGCATCGAACGTCAGAAAATCGTTTTCTTTTATCTAACAGAAAACAAAAAACAACGGTAATAAGATGATGATGATGATTAATAATAATAATAATTTGCGTGAATTTAGTACACGAGGATAGGAAGAGAAAAGTTATCGGACTGAACCATTTAGAACGATGTAGAACTGTCCAGAACCATTTGCGGCGCTCCAGAATCATTTAGAACTGTTCAGAATGCTCCAGGATTAATTAGAACTGTTTAGAGCACTTCAGAATCAATTAGAACAGTTCAGAATGCTCCAGAATCAATTTGAACTATTTAGAACAATCCAGAAACAATTAAAACTGTGTAGAACCATTTGCGGCGGTCTAGAATCATTTAGAACTGTTCAGAATGCTTCAGAATCAATTAGAACTGTTTAGAGCACTTCAGAATCAATTAGGACTGTTCAAAACGCTTCAGAGTCAATTAGAACTGTTCAAAACGCTCCAGAATCAATTAGAATTATTTAGAACACTCCAGAACCATTTAGAACAGTTCAGAATGCTCCAGAAACAATTTGAACTATTTGGAACGATCCAGAAACAATTAAAACTGTCTAGAACCATTTGCGGCGGTCTAGAATCATTTAGAGCTGCTTAGAACTGTCTAGAACACTTCGGAATCAATTAGAACTGTTCAGAATGCTCCAGAATCAATTTGAACTATTTAGAACAATCCAGAATCATTTAAAACTAGAACTAAATATTTCGACTAAATAAGAAGAATAATGTAATTTTTTCAATTGAAAATGGTGGTCATTCGTTGTCAGACCAAAGACTCTTTTCACCTTTCTCTTAGAATCAATTAGAACGGTTTAGAACACTCCCGAATTAATTAGCTTTGTTCAAAGCACTCCAGAGTCATTTCGGGCGCTCCAGAATCAATTAGAACTGTTCAAAATGCTCCAAAATCAATTAGAACTATTTAGAGCACTCCAGAACCATTTAGAACAGTTTAGAATGCTCCAGAATCAATTAGAACGGTTTAGAACACTCCCGAATCAATTAGCCTTCATTTCAGCGTTCAAAGCATTCTAGAGTGATTTGGGACGCTGCAGAATTAATTAGAACTGTTCAGAATGCCCCAGAATCAATTAGAACTGTTTAGAGCGCTTCAGAATCAATTAGAACTGTTCAAAACGCTCCATTATCAATTAGAACTGATTATAGCACTCCAGAATCATTTAGAAGAGTTCAGAATGCTCCAGAATCAATTTGAATTGTTTAGAGCACTTCAGAATCATTTAGGACGTTCCAGAATCAATTAGTAGAATTAAGAAGAACTAACAAGGATTAAGAATTAGTAGAATTAATTAGAACTGTTCAGAAAATGCTCCAAAATCAATTACAACTGTCTAGAACGCTCCAGAAACAATAAAACCTGTTCAGAGCACTTGAGAATCATTTACTACGCTCCAGAATAAATTAGTACTGTTTAGAACACTCCAGAATCGATTAGAACCATCTAGAACGCCCCAGAATCGTTTTAGAACCGTTTCGAACTAAACATTTCGACATAACAACAAAGAAAAACGTAATTTCCCAACTGAAAATCGCCGGTCTTTCTCTCATTATCAGACCGAGAAAACTCTTATCCACCTTCTTACTCTTAAACGTACTAACCTGGAATTGATCGCGCAAATAATCCAAGCGGGCCTTGAGTATACGCGATTGCGTGTACACGTAGGGGATGCCGAACATCAAGACGGCCCTGCCCAAATGATGGTCGAAATCCACGCCTTCTGAGACCTTTCCTCGGGCCACCGAAAGCAGGACTGCGCCCCTGCCCGATTCGCACGCCTAGAAAATGAACATATTGTACAGGGTGGCCAAATAATAAGGATGGCTCTCGGCCATATCTCGCAAACTAATTGAAAATCGGTTCAGCCGTTTAAAAGTTATTAACATTTATTTGGCAAAATATTCAAACCACCCCCCACCGCTTTATTTTAAAAGATAGAGTCAAAAATATATAACAAAAAATATTCGAAATTATCTTAACTATCAAAACAAAACACGTTTTTGATACCTTTATTTAGGAACATTTTGAAAAAAATGACTTTTCAAAATCAAGATGGCGGATACTCCCCCTAGCGGCCATTTTAGAGACCTGAAAATTATTTCCAGCATTTTCTTTTTGCCGATTTAGTCATAAGATTTTTTACCGCAAGTCTCTATGACAATTAGTTTGCGAGATATGGCCGAGAGCCACCCTTATTTTGGCCACCCTGTACAAAAAAAAATTCCCAATAATCACCCCCAATAAATACACACACCGGCTAATTTAAATTTAAAGGAACAGATTGAAAATGTGATATATTTCTATATTTTATTGCCATATAGTCAGTGATGTTAAAATTACTTTATAATATGTAATTAATTACAATTACAATTACTTTTGGCAATTTGTAATTAATTGCAATTACAATTAGAAAATTTGCGAATGTAATTACAATTACAATTACACTCACAATTACTTTGCTTTGGTGTCAGTTTTAAATAATTATTTAGGGATTTGCAATCGGAATTAAACTTTCCACGTATTGAAAATATTAAATAAGTACTTTTGTGTCCAATGTAATTGTAAAATGTAATTGTAACGAAAGGAGTAATTGAATTACAAATGAATTACAATTGAGGAGCTTGCAATTAATTACCGCCTCAATTACAATAAAAGTAATTCAATTACTTTTTCAATTACTTGTAATTAATTACTTAACAACACTGCATATAGTCTATTATCTAGATAGCCATCAAGGTTCCTCCATTTTGATGGCCTGGCGCTTTGAGAGTGCATTGTAAAGCTGGCAACATTGCTTGATATGGTCAATCAAATTCGAAAATTATATTTCGTTTATATTAAATATTTATTCTTATAAGCAAAACATTTTTGAGTGTGTATAGTGTATAGTGTATATGGTAGGATGAACGAGAGTAGGATAAAAAGTTATTGGCCTGAGCCATTTAGAACTGTCTAGAATCATTTAGAACGTTCCAATATAATTTAGAACGCTCCAGAATCATTTAGAATTGTTTAAAGCCATTTAGAACGCTTCAAAACCATTTACAACGCTCCAAAAACAATTAGAACGCTCCCAAATCATTTAGAATTGTCAAGAATCATTTAGAACTATCTAAAATCATTTAGAACGCTCCAAAATCATTTAGAACGTTCAAATATAATTTAGAACGCTCCAGAATCATTTAGAATTGTTTAAAGCCATTTAGAACGCTTCAAAACCATTTACAACGCTCCAAAAACAATTAGAACGCTCCCAAATCATTTAGAATTGTCAAGAATCATTTAGAACGCTCCGAGATAATTTAGAACACTCCAGAATCATTTAGAACGTTCCAAAATTATTTAGAACTGTCTAGAATTATTTAGAGCGTTCAAACATAATTTAGAAGGCTCCAGAATCATTTAGAACTGTCTAAAATCATTTAGAACGCTCCAAAATCATTTAGAACGTTCAAATATAATTTAGAAGGCTCCAGAATTATTTAGAATTGTCTAGAATCATTTAGAACGCTCCGAGATAATTTAGAACACTCCAGAATCATTTAGAACGTTCCAAAATTATTTAGAACTGTCTAGAATTATTTAGAACGTTCAAATATAATTTAGAAGGCTCCAGAATCATTTAGAACTGTCTAAAACCATTTAGAACGCTCCAAAATCATTTAGAACTGTCTAGAATCATTCAGAACGTTCAAATATAATTTAGAAGGCTCCAGAATCATTTAGAACTGTCTAAAACCATTTAGAACGCTCCAAAATCATTTAGAACTGTCTAGAATCATTTAGAACGTTCAAATATAATTTAGAAGGCTCCAGAATCATTTAGAACTGTCTAAAACCATTTAGAACGCTCCAAAATCATTTAGAACTGTCTAGAATCATTTAGAACGTTCAAATATAATTTAGAAGGCTCCAGAATCATTTAGAATTGTCTAAAGCCACTTAGAACGCTTCAAAACCATTTAGAACGCTCCCAAATCATTTAGATTTGTCTAGAATCATTTAGAACGCTCCGAGATAATTTAGAACACTCCAGAATCATTTAGAACGTTCCAGAATCATTTAGAACTGTCTAAAACCATTTAGAACGCTCTAAAACCATTTAGAACGCTCCAGAATCATTTAGAACTGTCTAAAACCATTTAGAAAGCTCCCAAATCATTTAGAACTGTCTAAAACCATTTAGAACGCTCCAAAACCATTTAGAGCGCTCCAGAATCAGTCTAAAACCATTTAGAATGCTCCAAGATAATTTAGAACGCTCCGAAACTGATTCGAGTACGAATCCCACTCCTGAACGGGGACCCCTTTTCATACGTACCATAAACCGTACTACAATAAATTCAGAACATTTAAAACGTACTTTGATGTAGTACATCAGTGCGAAACTGGTCTCGGCCGAATCCTGCGTTTCGATAAACAGCAATTTGTACCTCTGCAGATTATCGATGACCCCCTGATCGTACCAACTGGCTACCACCGATTCCAGGTAGAGGTACGACGTGAAGAAACAGACGATGCCATCGGGCACGTTGGCTGCTATCTAAAAATGTTAAGGGCCTTGATTAATTTAACTTATAAATTATGTTACGGAAAAAATCAGTAAATTAATATTTAAATTCTATGAATTGAGAAACATTTTAACGCTCAAAACACTAAAGACTGTATATTTTTCACTCGTGGAATCCATTATTAATTATGAAATGGTGGTCGGGGGTGGAGCAGGAAAAACATTACTAAGTAAGCTACAAATTGTTCAAAAATGGATTATTAAAATCATGCTGTTTAAAAGAAAATATTACCCAACGAATTTAGTGTTTAATGTTTTAAAGTTTAAAATGTTTTAATGTTTTTAGTGTTTAAATCATTTAGAATTGTGTAGAATCCTTTAGAATGCTCCAGAATCATTTAGAACGTTCCAATATAATTTAGAACGCTCCGGAATAATTTAGAACTGTCTAAAACCATTTAGAACTCTCCAAAACCATTTAGAACTCTCCAAAACCATTTAGAACGCTCCAAAATCATTTAGAACTGTCTAGAATCATTTAAAACACTCCAAAATAACTTAGAACGCTCCAGAATAATTTAGAACTCTCTAAAACCATTCAGAACGCTCCAGAATCATTTAGAACTCTCTAGAACAATCTAGAATGCTCCAGAATCATTTAGAAATGTCTATAGAATCATTTGGAACGCTCCATAGTTAATTAGATTACTCCAGAGCAATTTAGAACAATCTAGGGCAATTTAGAACATTCCAGAATAATTTTAAAATGTCTATAACAACCATTTATAAGGGTGCACACACAGCATTTTAAATGCCATAGTGCACTAAGTAGTAGATAATAGTTTATAGATAATTTTTTATTCATCTATGTATGTACTAATTGCTATAAATTACTAAATAAAAAAATAATAATAATCGAGTGAAATATTTGGATGAATTTTTAGAAGAAAAGTTTATAATGAATATAATTAATTTATATTATTCGGCGTTTCCATCCTGTATGTCCTAAATCTCTTAGTTTTTGAATTACAGGGTGTTACAGTTTTGAAGTATCGGCACTCGATTAATTAACACCCTGTATAAGTAAATAAATAAATAAAATGCGAATTTCGATTGTAATAAAAAGCAGAATGTGCTATCTAAAAATAGAGAAAAAAATAAATAAAATACGAGACGAATAAAGAAGTACTTTTAAAGATTGAAATAGAATAAATTTAATATTTACTTCGACTAGTAGTTGCCCGTAGTTCCTGATCACGGCGTTGTCGTCTCTGGTCTCGAATCGAGATGATATGGCCACTTGATCGTTGCCTTTCGAAACAATCTGTTAAATTATTCGAAAAAAAAAAAATAAGAGTCATTTATTATTCTATTTAAGGATCTAAAGGGGGTCTGAAGAGATGAGAATCAAGAGTCAAGAGAGAGATGAAATGAGAGTCAGGAGGGTTAAGATGAGATTAGATTAGAATCAAGAAAGTTGAGAGTCAGGAGAGTTAAGAAGAGAGTCAGGAGGGTTAAGAAGAGAGTCAGGAGAGTTAAGATGAGATTCAGGAGAGATGAGACGAGATTAGATGAGTCAGAAGAGAGGAGATTAGATGATAATCAAGAAAATTGAGAGTCGGGAGAGATGAAATGAGAGTCAGGAGAGTTAAGAAGAGAGTCGGGAGAGTTAAGAAGAGAGTCAGGAGAGTTAAGATGAGATTTGGGAGGGTTAAAATGAGATTAGATGAGAGCCAGAAGAGAGTAGATTAGATTAATCAGGAAAGATGAGATTAGATTAGAATAAAAAATATGGAGAGTCAAGAGAGTTAAGAAGAGAGTCAGGAGAGTTAAGAAGAGAGTCGGGAGAGATGAAATGAGAGTCAGGAGAATTAAGAAGAGAGTCAGGAGAATTAAGAACAGAGTCAGGAGAGTTAAGAAGAGATTTGGGAGGGTTAAAATGAGATTAGGTGAGTCAGAAGAGAGGAGATTAGATGATAATCAAGAAAATTGAGAGTCGGGTGAGATGAAATGAGAGTCAGGAGAGTTAAGAATAGAGCCAGGAGAGTTAAGAAGAGAGTCAGGAGAGTTAAGATGAGACTTGGAAAGGTTAAAATGAGATTAGATGAGAGCCAGAAGAGAGTAGATTAGATTAATCAGGAAAGATGAGATTAGATTAGAATAAAAAATATGGAGAGTCAAGAGAGTTAAGAAGAAAGTCGGGAGAGATGAAATGAGAGTCAGGAGAGTTAAGATGAGATTCAGGAGAGATGATATGAGATTAGATGAGTCAGAAGAGAGGAGATTAAATGATAATCAAGAAAATTGAGAGTCGGGAGAGATGAAATGAAAGTCAGAAGAGTTAAGATAAGAGAGGAGGTGAGTGATGAAATGAGAGAGGAGATAAGAGAGGAGAGATAAGAAGAGAATCGGGAGATGTAAGATAGATAAGAGATAAGTCTGTAGAGATGAGAATATTCCCTTTAATAATAAAACTCGAATGGTTACTGACTGATTCACTAATTGTTTGTTTTTTTTAATCGACGTTTCGTCTTTCGTGTTTCATCTTCAGTGCCAAATTAGCGAAAAACGCGCTATTTTTTCAATTTTTTCACCTCCGCTCGAACCGAGTCGAAGATTTTATTCACCATTTTTAAACCCGAAGATAAAACAATCCAGCCTTCGAAAATTATATTCTACTAACGTACACACGAAAACAATTCATCCCTCTCTAGTTTCAACCCTCACTTAGTTCAACAATAACAGAATATTGCCTCTCTTAGACCATCTGGAACTCGATTCATTCTCAACTTAAACTTACCATCGGTAACAGACAAGGCCTAGCCAAAGTCATCGTGAACGAAGACATGACGACCGGACGGAAATTCAATATTTTCGGATACATATCCATCGGCGATAAAGTACCAGATGTTATAACCACCGTTTGGAATCTATCGAACACCGGTTTAACGGCTATCGAACAATCCAAGCAACTGCAACATTAGAAAAGAAAAATTGTATTACTAGAATCCAATGAATCGTGTAAGTGTTACAGGTGAAGCTAGATGAACGACTAACGGGTAAAGGGCCAAGTAACCCAAGAAACATGGATTAGAGTAGGTTAGTGTAGGTTTCTTATGCCCGATTTCACCAACCAGTTCTCAAAGTTAGGTAATACCTAAACAGGATTTAGGAATGCCTAAGTACTATTTGCGTTTCACCATGCATTAAGTAATACCTAAAAGTAATAGGAAATGCCTAAAGTTAGGACAGTTCACTGGGCTTGCCTAAAATATTTAGGAAATACTTATGCCCGATTTCACCAACATGTTGTTAGATATTTCCTAACTAGGTAATTCCTGAGGTAGGAATTACTTAAATCGAAAACAAATTGTATTACTAGAATCTAATGAATCGTGTAAGTGTTACAGGTGAAGCTAGATGAACGACTAACGGGTAAAGTGCTGAGTAACCCAAGAAACATGGATTAGAGTAGGTTAGTGTAGGTTTCTTATGCCCGATTTCACCAACCAGTTCATAAAGTTAGGTAATACCTAAACCGGATTTAGGAATTCCTAAGTACTATTTGCGTTTCAGCATGCATTAAGTAATACCTAAAGGTAATAGGAAATGCTTAAAGTTGGGACAGTTCACTGGGCTTGTCTAAAACATTTAGGAAATACTTATGCCGGATTTCACCAACATGTTGTTAGGTATTTTCTAACTAGGTAATTCCTGAGGTAGGAATTACTTAAATCGAAAACAAATTGTATTACTAGAATCTAATGAATCGTGTAAGTGTTACAGATGAAGCTAGATGAACGACTAACGGGTAAAGTGTTAAGTAACCCAAGAAACGTGGATTAGAGTAGGTTAGTGTAGGTTTCTTATGCCCGATTTCACCAACCAGTTCCCAAAGTTAGGTAATACCTAAACAGGATTTAGGAATGCCTAAGTACAATTCGCGTTTCACCATGCATTAAGTAATACCTAGAGGTAATAGGAAATGCCTAAAGTTAGGACAGTTCACTGGGCTTGCCTAAAACATTTAGGAAATACTTATGCCGGATTTCACCAACATGTTTTTAGGTATTTTCTAACTAGGTAATTCCTAAGGTAGGAATTACTTGAATCGAATACTTACCTAAATCGAATTTCACCAACATTAAAAATCCCTTACTAAGAAATACCTTAGGTAAAAATTTGATTTCGACAATTTTTTGAATTTTATTGGTAGCATTGGCTAATTTTGACGTGTAAACCGAATAAGCGGAGATCGAAATTGAATATGTTGAGAGAAAAGAAGAGATGTTGATGATCCGGGCCATCTTTAAACTATGTTAGTTATTTTTAAATCTGCTGAAGATGTATTCTGTACATTATTAGAAAAATAACCTTTCCGATTTGTAAAATATTTCTACATCTTCTTCTCCAGGACAATGGATCTTTACATGCATTTGTACGGTCAATAGTTCCAAAAACTTCCTGTGTATCAAATTAAAAATCATCTTCAATTCTTTCTAATATTTGTAATGCCGTATTTTTATATATCGAAAAAGGCGAAAAAAATCAGTTTCGTCCAGTTTCTAAAAACTCTCCTCCCATTTTAAATTTTCATCTAAAGAGTGTAAAGAGTGTAAAGTGTTACAGGTGAAGCTAGATGAACGACTAACGGGTAAAGTGCTAAGTAACCCAAGAAAAATAGATTATAGTAGGTTAGGGTAGATTTCTTGGGTTCCCGTAAGAGCAAGAGAAACCTTCTATTTAGCAAGTTTACCGGGGTAAACCTAGATTTATGCCCGATTTCACCAACCAGTTCCTAAAGTTAGGTAATACCTAAACCATATTTAGGATTTCCTAAGTACTATTTGCGTTTCACCATGCACTAAGTAATACCTAAAGGTAATAGGAAATGCCTAAAGTTAGGACAACTCACTGGGCTTGTCTAAAACATTTAGGAAATACTTAATCATACTTTTTATGCGATTTCATGTGACTTGACTAGACTCTTTAGATGAAAATTTAAAATGGGAGGAGAGTTTTTAGAAACTGGACGAAACTGATTTTTTTTTCGCCTTTTTCGATATATAAACGGCATTACAAATATTAGAAAGAATTGAAGGTGATTTTTAATTTGAAACACAGGAAGTTCTTGGAACTATTGGCCATACACATGCATGTAAAGATCCATTGTCCTGGAGAAGAAGATGTAGAAATATTTTACAAATCGGAAAGGTTATTTTTCTAATAATGTACAGACTACATCTTCAGCAGATTTAAAAATAACAAACATAATTTAAAGATGGCCCGGATCGTCAACATCTCTTCTTTTCTCTCAACATATTCAATTTCGATCTCCGCTTATTCGGTTTACACGTCAAAATTAGCCAATGCTACCAATAAAATTCAAAAAATTGTCGAAATCAAATTTTTACCTAGGTATTTCTTAGTAAGGGATTTCTAATGTTGGTGAAACTCTATTTAGGTAAGTATTCGATTTAAGTAATTCCTACCTTAGGAATTACCTAGTTAGGAAATGCCTAAAAACATGTTGGTGAAATCGGGCATTAGGAAATACTTAACCATACTTTTAGACTGTGATTTCATGTGACTTAAGACTTGGCTGTTTTATTAGTAGTTTATCAAACAAAAATACTTAACAAACAGGCGCTGTAATTTACCTTACATGTAGTATAGGATTGGAAACCGTGGGGGTTTTATCGTCGAAAGGTTCCACGATAACGGTGAATCCTTTGGTATAAGTCGAAACTAATGTAGCCAAATGGGTTATCAATACAATCGGACCGAAATCGGCCAAATCGGAGATTTCCAAGGTTTTCAATAAGGACGACAAACGCTCCGCGCAGAATCTCAACGGTTTCCGTTCGATGCATACCTGAAACATCAGAGTCTTTATGTTTGAATCAAGAGTAAATTTTACTTGCCTGATATTTCTACTTCAAAATTTCTCTCGATTTTAAAATGATGTGTTCTTTAAAAACTAGGGAGTAGAAAGATGTAAGAAAAAACGTATACAGGGTTGCCAGAATTCAATGAAAAATCCTGACCAATTCCTACTTTTACGTCACTTTCTTTTACTATTTCTACTCCCCGAAATTTCCCGAGAGAAAATTTTACTCCCCGGTGATCTCTCTGATATTTCTACTCCTTTATAATTTCTTTTGATTTTAAAATAATGTATTCTTTAATCTAGAGAGAAGACAGAAGTAAGAAAAAACATATACAGAGTTGCCAGAATTCAGTGAAAAATCCTGACCAATTCCTACTTTAACGCCACTTTCTCTCACTATTTCTACTCCACGAAATTTCCCGAGAGAAAATTTTACTTCCCTGTGAGCTATTTCTACTCCTTCAAAATTTCTCTCGAATTTAAAATGCTGTATTCTTTAAAAGCTAGGGAGTAGAAAGAAGTAAGAAAAAACGTATACAGGGTTGCCAGAATTCAGTGAAAAATCCTGACCAATTCCTACTTTTACATCACTTTCTCTCACTATTTCTACTCCACGAAATTTCCCGAGAGAAAATTTTATTCCCCTGTGAGCTCTCTGATATTTCTACTCCTTCAAAATTTCTCTCGATTTTAAAATGCTGTATTCTTTAAAAGCTAGGGAGTAGAAAGAAGTAAGAAAAAACGTATACAGGGTTGCCAGAATTCAATGAAAAATCCTGACCAATTTCTACTTTTACATCACTTTCTCTCACTATTTCTACTCCACGAAATTACCCGAGAGAAAATTTTACTCCCCGGTGATCTCTCTGATATTTCTACTCCTTCAAAATTTCTTTTGATTTTAAAATGCTGTATTCTTTAAAAGCTAGGGAGTAGAAAGAAGTAAGAAAAAACGTATACAGGGTTGCCAGAATTCAATGAAAAATCCTGACCAATTCCTACTTTTACATCACTTTCTCTAACTATTTCTACTCCACGAAATTTCCCGAGAGAAAATTTTATTCCCCTGTGAGCTCTCTGATATTTCTACTCCTTCAAAATTTCTCTTGATTTTAAAATGCTGTATTCTTTAAAAGCTAGGGAGTAGAAAGAAGTAAGAAAAAACGTATACAGGGTTGCCAGAATTCAGTGAAAAATCCTGACCAATTTCTACTTTTACGTCATTTTCTCTCACTATTTCTACTCCACGAAATTTCCCGAGAGAAAATTTTACTCCCCTGTGAGCTCTCTGATATTTCTACTCCTTCAAAATTTCTCTCGATTTTAAAATGATGTATTCTTTAAAAGCTAGAGAGTAGAAAGAAGTAAGAAAAAACGTATACAGGGTTGCCAAAATCCTCACCAATTCCTACTTTTACATCACTTTCTCTCACTATTTCTACTCCACGAAATTCCCCGAGAGAAAATTTTACTCCCCGTTGATCTCTCTGATATTTCTACTCCTTCAAAATTTCAATTCCTTCAAAGCTAGGGAGTAGAAAGAAGTAAGAAAAACATATACAGAGTTCCCAGAATTCAGTGAAAAATCCTGACCAATTCCTACCAATCCTGACCAATTCTTACGTCACTTTCTACTCCCCGAAATTTCCCGAGAGAAAATTTTACTCCCCGGTGAGCTCCCTCTGATATTTCTACCCCTTCAAAATTTCTTTCGATTTTATAATATATTCTTTAAAAGCTAGGGAGTAGAAAGAAGTAAGAAAAAACGTATACAGGGTTGCCAGAATCCTCACCAATTCCTACTTTTACATCACTTTCTCTCACTATTTCTACTCCACGAAATTCCCCGAGAGAAAATTTTATTCCCCGATGAGCTCCCTCTGATATTTCTACCCCTTCAAAATTTCTCTCGATTTTATCCTGTATTCTTTAAAACCTAGGGAGTAGAAAGAAGTAAGAAAAAACGTATACAGGGTTGCCAGAATCCTCACCAATTCCCACTTTTACGTCACTTTCTTTCACTATTTCTACTCCTTCAAAATTTCTCTCGATTTCAAAATGATGTATTCTTTAAAAACTAGGGAGCAGAAAGAAGTAAGAAAAAACGTATACATGGTTGCCAGAATCCTCACCAATTCCCACTTTTCCGCCACTTTCTCTCACCATTTCTACAAGAATCGCCTTACCTTTTGCTGCACGTCCTTGAGAAAAGCCACCGGCGACTCCTGCACGACGTGTTGCACCCTCAACCTTGTCTTCACGTACTCCAAAAACCGCTTCAAAAAACTGACGAAATGCTCGGCGTTTCGTATATTCCCCGGCACGGCCTCCTGCAATATTTCATCGGGCAGGACCGGATTCGATAGAATCACATCGGTCTCTCTGGCCACGTTGGCGTCCCGCAGTCCTTGCACCAGACGCTGGTACTCGTCCTGCAGCCTCTTCGAATCGTCCTCGCGCATCCTTTGATATACAAGATAGCAAATTAGTATGGAAAAGTTCAATGTTTCTGTTGTTGTAGAAGATATCAAGGAAACTTCGGTAGAAAAGTTGTATATACAAGATAGCAAATTAGTATGGAAAAGTTCAATGTTTCTGTTGTTGTAGAAGATATCAAGAAAACTTGGGTACAAAAGTTGTATATACAAGATAGCAAATTAGTATGGAAAAGTTCAATGTTTCTGTTGTTGTAGAAGATATCAAGAAAACTTGGGTACAAAAGTTGTATATACAAGATAGCAAATTAGTATGGAAAAGTTCAATGTTTCTGTTGTTGTAGAAGATATCAAGAAAACTTCGGTAGAAAAGTTGTATATACAAGATAGCAAATTAGTATGGAAAAGTTCAATGTTTCTGTTGTTGTAGAAGATATCAAGAAAACTTCGGTAGAAAAGTTGTATATACAAGATAGCAAATTAGTATGGAAAAGTTCAATGTTTCTGTCGTTGTAGAAGATATCAAGAAAACTTCGGTAAAAAAGTTGTATATACAAGATAGCAAATTAGTATTGAAAAGTTCAATGTTTCTGTTGTTGTAGAAGATATCAAGAAAACTTCGGTAGAAAAGTTGTATATACAAGATAGCAAATTAGTATGGAAAAGTTCAATGTTTCTGTCGTTGTAGAAGATATCAAGAAAACTTGGGTACAAAAGTTGTATATACAAGATAGCAAATTAGTATGGAAAAGTTCAATGTTTCTGTTGTTGTAGAAGATATCAAGAAAACTTCGGTAGAAAAGTTGTATATACAAGATAGCAAATTAGTATGGAAAAGTTCAATGTTTCTGTTGTTGTAGAAGATATCAAGAAAACTTCGGTAGAAAAGTTGTATATACAAGATAGCAAATTAGTATGGAAAAGTTCAATGTTTCTGTTGTTGTAGAAGATATCAAGAAAACTTCGGTAGAAAAGTTGTATATACAAGATAGCAAATTAGTATGGAAAAGTTCAATGTTTCTGTTGTTGTAGAAGATATCAAGAAAACTTCGGTAGAAAAGTTGTATATACAAGATAGCAAATTAGTATGGAAAAGTTCAATGTTTCTGTCGTTGTAGAAGATATCAAGAAAACTTCGGTAGAAAAGTTGTATATACAAGATAGCAAATTAGTATGGAAAAGTTCAATGTTTCTGTTGTTGTAGAAGATATCAAGAAAACTTGGGTAGAAAAGTTGTATATACAAGATAGCAAATTAGTATGGAAAAGTTCAATGTTTCTGTTGTTCTGTGTAGAAGATATCAAGAAAACTTCGGTAGAAAAGTTGTATATACAAGATAGCAAATTAGTATGGAAAAGTTCAATGTTTCTGTTGTTGTAGAAGATATCAAGAAAACTTCGGTAGAAAAGTTGTATATACAAGATAGCAAATTAGTATGGAAAAGTTCAATGTTTCTGTTGTTGTAGAAGATATCAAGGAAACTTCGGTAGAAAAGTTGTGGATCTTTTTAAGCTGCACGTTTTAAATTAAGTTATCATTATACAGGGCTTTTCACTGTAGCCGTTTATTAGAAGTATCTCGATAATGAAGAGACTTAAAAATCTGAAATTTTGGTTATAGTATTTTTTGGGTAATATGAATTGATCTAAAATGTTTTAATTTTGGTTACACTTTCGGTTATACCGGAAGTTGACACCAACTTCGTTGTTTTATGTGGAAAGTGTCATTTTTAACATCATTTTTGAATTCTATGGCCTTTTTTAACTAGACTTTGATAATAACACCATATGACAAAAATGCACCATTTTTAAGATATTACAACTTTTTCAATATTTTTTGGAAAAACAGTCGAACGTATTTTTTGTGATATCTCTGTTAATAATGCAGCTAGAAGCTTGAAATTGAGTATCGATGATGTCCAGACATACTACTAAATGAAACTAAACTGTATTTTCAGAATCCATGTACAGGGCGTTTAAAATTTTCTGACAAACTTGGCCGAATTAAAATAGTCATAACTTTGTTATTTCAAATGGATCACCCTGTATTTTTTAATAGTGACCAATGCAGTTTTTAAGCCCTTTCGATCCGTATGGGTATTCGGATCGAATCCTATACGGATCGATCCTATACCCAAATCCAGTAGTTTTTGAAATAATCGAAGTTTGAAAAACTTCGATTATTATCGATTATTATAAGTTTGATAAACTTCGATTATTTCAAAAACTACTGGATTTGAGTATAGGGAATATCCATATGGATCGAAAGGACTTAAAAAACTGCATTGGTCACTATTAAAAAATACAGGGTGATCCATTTGAAATAACAAAGTTATGACCACTCTAATTTGGCCAAGTTTGTCAGACAATTTTAAACGCCCTGTACATGGATTCTGAAAATACAGTTTAGTTTAATTTAGAAGAGTGTCTGGACATCATCGATACTCAATTTCAAGCTTCTAGCTGCATTATTAACAGAGATATCACAGAAAATACATTCGACTGTTTTTCCAAAAAAATATCAAAAAAATTGTAATATCTTAAAAATGGTGCATTTTTGGTATATGGTGTTATTATCAAAGTCTAGTTAAAAAATGCCGTAGAATTCAAAAATGAAGTTAAAAATTGCACTTTACGCATAAAATAACGAAGTTGGTGTCAACTTCCGGTATAACCGGAAGTGTAATCAAAATGGAAACATTTTAAATCAATTCATATTATCCAAAAAATACTATAACCAAAATTTCAGATTTTTAAGTCTTTTCATTATTGAGATACTTCTAATGGACGGTTACCGTGAAAAGCCCCGTATTATAAACCGTTGGAAATTTATTCGCGCATAATATTAAATTCTAATAAACAAATTCTAATAAATTTGATTGCTCCAACGGTGTATATTCATAGGTATCATTATATTCTCATGCAGAATCACCCCCTGAAGTTTCTCGCGCTTATTAACTAACACCCTGTATAAAGGAATCGTAATCGATGAACTAATAGTTACTCTGCTATAGTTTTCTCCAGTAATTGTATGTTAGCGGAGGCCTTTTCGATCGTTCGCTTCTTGATTTTCACGCTCATCGCATCGATGCAGACGTTGTCTATATTATGGGCTTCGTCGAATATCACCACGGACTCTTTAGTGAGCTCCTTCGACACCACATCGGCTATCTTCGGATCGAGTAGATAATGGTAGCTGTACACCACTATATTAGCGTAAGTAATCTACAATCGAACGGTGTTATTTATACGATAGGAGCTGTACGAAAGTGGTGATCTCACGGCTAGCCTCGATACGAAGTAGGGGCACCAGTTTCGATCTCTCCCGTACTGTTTCAAATCGTCTATGTTGTAGACCCCGTGGGGTAAAATGGATTCTTTCCCGTCGAGATTGAAGTCTTCGTAGTACTGACAAACTGGTACGGTGTCGTCGTACGAGTGTTTTTCTCTAACGTAACTAGCCGTTAGAGCGTGGCACTTTCCATCGACTATTTTACCTTCCTTTTGGGTGCTCACCTACAACATTCACACATGAAATAAACCCATTTTATATCAGTAGATTTGAATGATGTACCTGGGGATGTATGCACATGTTTTTGCGAGATGATAGAACTACGCCGGTGAGCTTGGGTTTTTCTCCGTCGGTTTTCTCGTAGTACTCGATCAGCTTTTTGAGTTCCTCGAGGACCTTCTCGATTTCCGGTACGGTGCGCGAGCAGTAGATTAGTTTCCGTACGTGATGGGGGTTTTCGATCATGTAGGCGACGATGAGCGAGAGAAGGGTGACCGTTTTGCCGGTGCCCGATGGCATTTCGAGCAAGCAATGGCCCTGGAAACGATAGAGGATTAATGGAGGGTATAAATGCGTTTGTTGTTGTTTAAGGATATGCTTTGCAAGTAGTTAATTTACTTTGGCGTCTAGGGCTTTTTTTAGTTCCCTCATATAGGCGTATTGCTCCGGGTAAATGTAATCGTAAGGGAAGTACACGATTAGGCCGTCTACGCTTAACCTAAAAATTGGATAATTTGAAATCGAATGGTTTAAATTACGCTTGTTTTACCTCATTTTTGCGTGTGTGTGTTTACAAACACAACGCCGAATAACCGGAATAAAAATTTTGAATAAAATAGAGGTTACAATATTCTTCTTTTTCTTTATTCACGGTAATATATAGAGGTCTGGTAACTATTCTCCATTGCGTAGTTCCTAAAACAACCGGTAGGCGACGATTTTGTAAAGAATATTTATTTATTTCAACGTTTAGGTTGCTGTAGATACAGCCACAATTTTAAATAATCTAATAATTATTTACACAGCATATTTCTCAATTATTTTACTTGTCTAGAAATGTTATAAATTCATAAAAATAAGTCAAGTTTCCAGACCTTATTAATATACGACCGTGAAACAATTCGAAGACGAATAATGACAGTTGACATTGACAATCGCGATTTGACATAAAATAAGAAAAAAAAATAAATGGAAAGTGAAACTTATTTTTCAGGGTGGGGTTTTTCGTATTTTCGTTGAATTTCCCCGTTTTCCACCGCTTTACATTTTCCGCGTACGTATATTATGTAAATTTCGCCGACAAAACATCGCAGGAACGACAATCGCCGGATCAAGCAGGCGAGTTATCGACCGAGCGGACCAGAAATGTAATTTGACAATTTGTGAGGTTATGTCGCCCGTTGCATCTGCATTATTGTGACATATATCTCGGGTATTTCGCGACTTCGTACGCCAAAAAGGGCCGCATCCGGCGAAAGTGCGGACGCGAATCGGTGCGTTAGCGTCCGCGCTAATCCGATTAGTTCGAATTATCGTCGAATAGAGCGAGAAACAACCAAGATGAGAGCGCTTTGAGCGAAGGTGTTTCGCAGCAAAATCGAATTTCGGCGGCCATTTTATTTTTCTCCACAAGTTACGTGTAAGTTTTTATTATGTATTTATGTATTTGTTTTGTTTTATCTACTACTCTATTTATTTGTTTATTTAAGTATATTCGATTCTATGTAAGGTATATTAAATTTTGTTTGTAGTGTATTAAACGTAGGCGTTGAGATAAATTAATGTAAGTTTCGTTTGTTATAATCACAGTAGGCTGTCAAATTTTGCGAATGACAGTTGTTTGAGACTTGTCATAATTGTAGTAGCCTACTTGTTCTTCTAGTATAAGTCTAAATCGTTCGATTTCCAGCCGAAATGCCGTCATAGCGTCGCCGGAGCACCAGCACGAGGACCGCCAGCCGGAGCGCCGTCGCCGTCTCGACGCCATGGCGCCGGTACCGCGGCCGGGCAGCCTGCGCGATCCCGACACGGCCGATCTCTTCTACAAGCACGATCCGGAGAAGACGTTCGAGGACCTGCGCGAAATCGGCCACGGCAGCTTCGGCGCCGTCTACTACGCCCGATGCCTGCTCACCAAGCAAATCGTGGCCGTCAAGAAGATGTCCTACGTGGGCAAGCAGAGCCTCGAAAAGTGGCAGGACATCCTGAAGGAGATCCGCTTCCTCAAGCAACTGAACCATCCGAACACCATCGAGTACAAGGGCTGTTATCTGCGCGACAGCACCGCCTGGTTGGTGATGGAGTACTGCTTGGGCTCCGCCTCGGACATCATCGAGGTGCACAAGAGGCCGTTGAAGGAGGACGAGATCGCCGCCATTTGCGACGGGGTGTTGCACGGGTTGAGTTATTTGCACGAATTGGGCCGGATACATCGGTTAGTTGACGGTTTTTTGTTTGAAATGATGTACTAATTGTTTGGTTTGTTCGATTTTAGGGACGTCAAAGCCGGTAATATTTTGTTGACGGAGAACGGTACGGTGAAATTGGCCGATTTCGGGAGCGCTTCCATCAAATGCCCGGCCAATTCGTTCGTCGGGACGCCCTATTGGATGGCACCGGAGGTAATTATTGGCTGCCTTTGACTAAGAAAGGCTCGGGCTAAGGTTACGGGTCCCTCGAGTGTTCCTAAATGTTTGTTTGTGCCTCCAAGGGGCTCCAAAGATTCGCTCTAGTAGCAATCTCCTCTAGAAGGCCACGATCTGATGATTCATCAGCCACTTCCCTCTTAAATCGAGGTTATATAGCTGCTTTACAGTAGAGTAGAGTCCCGCTATCTTTTCTAATGACTAATAGAGGCTCCAGGCAAGGTTCCGAGTCCCTCGACGAAGCACTCGAGTGTTCCTAAATGTTTGTTGGTTCCTCCGAGGGGCTCCAAAGATTCGCTCTAGTAGCAATCTCCTCTAGAAGGACACGATCTGATGGCTCACCAGCCACTTCCCTCCTAAATCGAGGTTATTAGCTGCTTTTCCGTACAGTAGAGTCCCGTTATCTTTTTCTAATGACTAAGTGAGGCTCCAGGCAAGGTTCCGAGTCCCTCGACGAAGCACTCGAGTGTTCCTAAATGTTTGTTTGTGCCTCCAAAGGGACTCCAAAGATTCGCTTGAGTAGCACTCTACTCTAGAAGGACACGATCTGATGGTTCATCAGCCACTTCTCTCTTAATTCGAGGTTATATAGCTGCTTTACCGTAGAGTAGAGTCCCGCTATCTTTTTCTAATGACTAATAGAGGCTCCGGCGAAGGTTCCGAGTCCCTCGACGAAGCACTCGAGTGTTCCTAAATGTTTGTTTGTTCCTCCAAGGGGCTCTAAAGATTCGCTCGAGTAGCAATCTCCTCTAGAAGGCCACGATCTGATGGTCCATCAGCCACTTCCCTCTTAAATCGAGGTTATATAGCTGCTTTACCGTACAGTAGAGTCCCGCTATCTTTTTCTAATGACTAAGTGTGGCTCCAACCAAGGTTTGGGGTCCTTCGATGAAGCACTCAAGCCTTCCTAAATGCCTGTTTACGTCTCTAAAAGGCTCTAAAGATTCGCTCGAGTAGCAATCTACTCTAGAAGAACACGATCTGATGTTTCATCAGCCACTTCTCTCTTAATTCGAGGTTATATAGCTGTTTTCCCATGCAGTAGAGTCCCGCTATCTTTTTCTAATGACTAAGTGAGGCTGCAACCAAGGTTTTGAGTCCTTCGATGAAGCACTCGAGCCTTCTTAAATGCCTGTTTACGTCTCTAAAAGGCTCTAAAGATTCGCTCGAGTAGCAATCTACTCTAGAAGAACACGATCTGACGTTTCATCAGCCACTTCTCTCTTAATTCGAGGTTATATAGCTGTTTTCCCATGCAGTAGAGTCTCGCTATCTTTTTCTAATGACTAAGTGAGGCTCCAGGCAAGGTTCCGAGTCCCTCGACGAAGCACTCGAGTCTTCCTAAATGTTTGTGTGAGTCTCCGAAGGAGCTCTAAAGATTCTTCTGAGTAGCACTCTACTCTAGAAGGACACGATCTGATGGTTCATCAGCCGCTAGTCTACTCCTTGGTAGTTCTACAGCTACCCCAGCGTGATTTTAAAGCTCCCATTACTACTATAACTGTTTTTTTAGGCTATTTAAAGCTCCCTTTAAACAACTCTAATTGTATTTGTGTGTTTTTTTAGGTGATTTTGGCAATGGACGAAGGCCAGTACGATGGGAAAGTGGACGTTTGGTCGTTGGGCATAACCTGCATCGAATTGGCCGAACGGAAACCGCCCTATTTCAATATGAACGCCATGTCGGCGCTCTATCACATCGCTCAAAACGAACCGCCTACTCTGTCGAAACCGGAATACGCGGACGTGTGGACCGATACATTCAAACACTTCGTAGAAGCCTGTCTACAGGTAGAGATAATGTAAAATTTTACGTGCGTTTCATCCTCCCCGCGCTTCGGTGTATTAATCTAATAATTTTATTCGATATGTATGTCGTTTGCTTGGCTGGCCTTTTACTGTCCGGTAAATCGGCTAGAACCGTATGGATCTTGTGGTACTTACTAAGGGTAAGGTGAAAAGTTCTCTCGGACTGACGATGAGAGATCGGCGATTTTTAGTTTGAAAAATTACATTGTTCCGATTGTTAAGTCGAAATCTTTAGTTCGAGACTGTTCTAAATTATTTTGGAGTGTTCTAGATAGTTCTGAATGATTCTGGAGCGTTCTAAATAGTTTTAGACCAGTTCTAAATGATTCTGGAGCGTTTTGAGTGGTTCTGAAGCGTTCTAAATGCTTTTAGACAGTTCTAAACGATTCCAGAGTGTTCTAAATGATTTTAGACAGTTCTAAACGATTTCGGAGTGTTCTAAATGATTTTAGACAGTTCTAAACGATTTCGGAGTGTTCTAAATGATTTTAGACAGTTCTAAACGATTCCAGAGTGTTCTAAATGATTTTAGACAGTTCTAAACGATTTCGGAGTGTTCTAAATGATTTTAGACAGTTCTAAACGATTTCGGAGTGTTCTAAATGATTTTAGACAGTTCTAAACGATTTCGGAGTGTTCTAAATGATTTTAGACAGTTCTAATTGATTCTAGATGGTCCTAAATAACTATGGAACGTTCTGTACGTTGTTCTAAAGCGTTCTAAATAGTTTTAGACAGTTTTAAGTAATTCTGGAGTGTTCTGAATGATTCTAGACTGTTCTAAACGGTTCTGGAGCGTTTTATATTGTTCTAAACAGTTCTAAATGATTCTGAAGTTTTCTAAATGGTTCTTAAACGGTCTAAATGGCTTTAGACAGTTCTGAATGGTTCTGGAACGTTATAAATGGTTTTAGACAGTTCTAAATGATTAAGGATCATTTTAAATGGGTTTGTAGCATTCTAAAGGGTTTTAGACCAGTTCTGAATGATTATAGAACGTTTTTAATGGTTTTAGACAGTTCTGAATGGTTCTAGACAGTTCTAAATGATTGTGGAGCATTCTAAATGGTATTAAACAGTTCTAAATGATTCTGGAGCCTTTTAGATTGTCCTAGACAGTTCCAAATGATTCGCGCCGAGTACTTTTCGCCCTACCCTCGTATTTACAATTGCGTTTGTTGAAAAATCAATTATTTCTATATAAAATACAACGGAGTGCCGAGATTTATGAACGTCTCTGTTATTTCCTATCTTATTGTTAATATCATTTTATATTCTATTTTCTATTCTACACATTTCATATCTCATTGTTAATAAAAATTTATATTGTCTCTTTTTCGTATAGAAAAGTACATTACAACGACCGACCTCGTCGAGGCTGTTGTCCCATCAGTTCATCACCAGGACGCGATCGCCCAACGTGCTGATCGATCTGATCCAAAGGACCAAAGCGGCCGTCAGGGACCTGGACAATTTGAACTACCGCAAAATGAAGAAGATCCTGATGGTGGAGAATTGCGAAACGGAGAGTACCATAGGTAAAAGGCGATACGTTTTAGATCGTAAATAAGGCTTTAGAGGGCTTTAAACCGTGCTTGGTTACTCCATAGTAAACAATGTAATACTGTCAGTTGAAAGAATCTCCTTAGTTACTCCATAACACCCAATGTAAAACTGTCAAATGTGAAAGAATCTCCTTAGTTACTCCATAACAACCAATGTAAAACTGTCAATTTATACAATGCGTCCTTAGTTACTCCATAACAACAATGTAAATCTGTCAATTGTAAGGTACTCCTTAGTTACTCCATAACAACCAATGTAAAACTGTCAAATGTGAAAGAATCTCCTTAGTTACTCCATTACAACCAATGTAAAACTGTCAATTTATACAATGCGTCCGTGGTTACTCCATAACAACACTGTAAATCTGTCAATTGTAAGGTACTCCTTAGTTACTCCATAACAACTAATGTAAAGCTGTCAAATGTGAAAGAATCTCCTTAGTTACTCCATAACAACCAATGTAAAACTGTCAAATGTGAAAGAATCTCCTTAGTTACTCCATAACAACCAATGTAAAACTGTCAATTTATACAATGCGTCCTTAGTTACTCCATAACAACAATGTAAATCTGTCAATTGTAAGGTACTCCTTAGTTACTCCATAACAACTAATGTAAAACTGTCAAATGTGAAAGAATCTCCTTAGTTACTCCATAACAACCAATGTAAAACTGTCAAATGTGAAAGAATCTCCTTAGTTACTCCATAACAACCAATGTAAAACTGTCAAATGTGAAAGAATCTCCTTAGTTACTCCATAACAACCAATGTAAAACTGTCAATTGTAAGTTACTCCTTAGTTACTCCGTAACAACCAATGGAAAACTGTCAAGTTTGAGTCATTACATTTTAAAATGAGGCTCTGAACACGGGCCAAGAGAAGAGTTTGAGTGAAATGGAATTATTATTAAATAACGAATCGTTTTTTTTTTTTAGACGTAGACGATACTCCGGACGAGCACACGGGCGGTGACAGTTCGAAGAGTAACTCCGTCACGTCGGAGCAGAGCGTGCATTCGGTGGGCGTGTCGGCGAGCAGCCAATCGAGCAGCACCAACAGTCTACCGGCCGGTGAGTTGTTTCGAAATGGCCTCGATCGAGTCGGCTTTTCGAACGAAGGTTTTTTGTTTTCGCTGTACTTACCTTTGGTTCCTACAAAAAAAGAGATGAGAGATGAGTCGCGAGAGTTACGAGAGAGTGTGTAGAGATGAGATGTGAGTTTGTAGGGGTTAGATGAGAGTTAGGAGAGATTATATGAGAGTCAGGAGAGCTGAAATAAGAGATAAGAGAGATGAGATGAGAGTTTGTAGGGGTTAGATGAGAGTCAGGAGGGATAAAATTAGAGATAAGTGAGATGAGATGAGAGTTAGGAGAGATTGTTTGAGAGTCAGGAGAGATGAGATGAGAGTTAGGAGAGATGAGAGTCTGTAAAGATGAGATGAGAGCTCTATAGAAATGAGATGAGAGTTTTATAGAGATAGTACGAGAGTCAGGAGAGATGAGAGTTAAGAGACATATGTTTTGAGTGAAGAGAGATAAGATGAGTCGGGAGATATAAGATGAGAGTCAGGGTTCCACGAGGGTTCTAAAAAGATGAGATGAGAGTGTAGAGTTGAAATGTGAGTTTGTAGACTAGAAATGAGAGTCTGTAAAGTAGAAATGAGATTCTGAAGAGTAGAAATGTAAGTTTGTAGACCAGAAATGAGAATCTGAAGAGATTAGAGTCTGTAGACTAGAAATGAGATTCTAAAGAGTAGAAATGTGAGTCTCTAGAGTCTGAGTGTGAGACTCTAGTTAGAGATTCTGTAGATTATATTCGAGAGTCTGTACAAATGAGAGCCTCTATATCAGAAATGAGCGCCTGTAGACTAAAAACGAGAACCTGTAGACTAGTAATGAGACTCAATACAAACATGTAGACTAGAAATAAGAGCCTGTAGACTAGAATTGAGAGCCTGTAGATTACAAATGAGAGCCTGTAGAAATGAGCGTCTGTAGAGTAGAAATGTGAGTTTGTAGACTAGAAATAAGTGCCTGTAGACTAGAAATAAGTGCATGTAGACTAGAAATGGGAGCTTGTAGACTAGAAATGAGAGCTTGTAGACTAATGTGAGCCTGTATATTACTAACGAGAGTTTGTAGAATAGAAATGAGCGTCTGTAGATTAGAAATAAGAGCCTGTATACCAGAAACGAGAGCCTGTAGACTAGAAATGAGGGCATGTAAATCACAAACGAGAGTCTGTAGACTAGAATTAAGAGTCTGTATACCAGAAACGAGAGTCTATAGACTAGAAATGAGAGCCTGTAGAGTAGAACTGTCAGTTTGTAGACTAGAAATAAGCGTGTATACAGTTGAAATTAGAGACTATAGATTACAAACGAGAGCCTGTAGATTAGAAATGAGAGCCTGTATAAAAGAAACGAGAGCCTGTAGACTAGAAATGAGGGCATGTTAATCACAAACGAGAGTCTGTAGACTAGAATTAAGAGTCTGTATACCAGAAACGAGAGTCTGTAGACTAGAAATGAGAGCCTGTAGAGTAGAACTGTGAGTTTGTAGACTAGAAATAAGCGTGTATACAGTTGAAATTAGAGACTATAGATTACAAACGAGAGCCTGTAGACTAGAAATGAGCGTCTGTAGAGTAAAACTGTGAGTTTGTAGACTAGAAATAAGCGTCTATAGAGTAGAAACGAGAGCATGTAGATCAGAAATAAGGGTGTATAGAGTAGAAATGAGAGCCTGTAGATTATAAACGAGAGCCTATAGACTCAAAATGAGTGCCTGTATACCAGAAACGAGAGTCTGTATACCAGAAACGAGAACCAGTATACTAGAAATAAGAGCCTGTAGACCAAAAACGACACTCCTTACAATCATTCTCCTTTCTCTCGCTCGCCTTCCTTTACCCTTTACCACCCCTTTTATACGAACACAAAAAATAAAATAATCGAAAATTCCACCGTTCCATCTGAACAAGGCGTCGAAGACGGCCCCCCGAACCGCCGCCCCCAGCACCGGCAAATCAACCATCCGACCGCCGCCGCCGCCCTCTGCGATCACGGCACCAACAACTTCGCCACCATCCGCACGACGAGCATCGTCACCAAGCAACAGAAGGAGCACATGCAGGAGGAGATGCACGAACAGATGTCCGGCTACAAGCGCATGCGCCGCGAACACCAAAGCGCCCTGCTCAAGCTCGAGGACCGCTGCAAGATGGAGATGGAGGCGCACAAGAACCAATTGGACAAGGAGTACGAGAACCTGTTGCAGAACTTCAGCAAGGAATTGGAACGGTTGCAGGCGAAGCACCTGCAGGAGTTGGAGCGCAAGCACAAGCAGAATTCGGCCGGCGAGAAGAAATTGGTGAAGGACATATCGGGTAGGCAGGAGGCCGATAGGAAGGCGTTCGACGCGCACAGGAAGAAGGAGTACAAGGCGAACAAGGAGCGATGGAAACGCGAACTGTCGCAGGACGATTCGACGCCTAAGAGACAGCGCGACGCCACGTTGCAGTTAGTATATTATGCTGATTTACATTTGTTTTTATTTGTTTGTTTATTTGACTATTGATTGATCAATTGATATGGCTAATTAATAGAGTTTGGAAAGTGTGCGAAATGCGTGTAGAGTGCGCGTATGATTCTGGAGCATTCTAAGTCATTCTGGAGTGTTCCGAACGGTTCTGGAGCATTCTAAATGATTATGGAGTGTTCTTAACCGCTTTAGACAGTTCTAAATAGCTCTAGTGATTCTGGATCATTATAGATTGTTCCAAACGCGTTCTGGAGCGTTCTGAACGGTTCTAGAGAGTGATTCCGGAGCGTTCTAAATGATTTTAGACAGTTCTAAATGATTTTGGAGCGTTCTAAATGGTTTAAGACAGTTTTAAATGCTTGTGGATTGTTCTAGAGACAGTTCTAAATGAATCTAGAGCGTTCTAAATGATTTAAGAGGGTTCGAAATGTTTCTAGACTGTTCTAAATGATTCTAAAATGTTCCAAACGGTTCTGGAGCGTTCTAGAACTGTCGCAGGACGATATGACGTCTAAAAGACAGCGCGACGCCACGTTGCAGTTAGTATATTTATTGATGTTTTTTTTGGATTTTTTTTTAATTTGTTTATTTTACCATTGATTGATCAATTAATAAGGCTAATTAATAGAGTTTGGAAAGTGTGCGAAATGCGTGTAGATTCTGGAGCATTCTAAGTCATTCTGGAGTGTTCCGAACGGTTCTGGAGCATTCTAAATGATTATGGAGTGTTCTTAACCGCTTTAGACAGTTCTAAATAGCTCTAGTGATTCTGGATCATTATAGATTGTTCCAAACGCGTTCTGGATCGTTCTGAACGGTTCTAGACAGTGATTCCGGAGCGTTCTAAATGATTTTAGACAGTTCTAAATGATTTTGGAGCGTTCTAAATGGTTTAAGACAGTTTTAAATGCTTGTGGATTGTTATAGAGACAGTTCTAAATGAATCTAGAGCGTTCTAAATGATTTAAGAGCGTTCGAAATGTTTCTAGACTGTTCTAAATGATTCTAAAATGTTCCAAACGGTTCTGGAGCGTTCTAGAACTGTCGCAGGACGATATGACGTCTAAAAGACAGCGCGACGCCACGTTGCAGTTAGTATATTTATTGATGTTTTTTTTGGATTTTTTTTTAATTTGTTTATTTTACTATTGATTGATCAATTAATAAGGCTAATTAATAGAGTTTGGAAAGTGTGCGAAATGCGTGTAGATTCTGGAGCATTCTAAGTCATTCTGGAGTGTTTTAAATGGTTCTAGACAATTCTAAATGTTTTTGGAGCGTTCTAAATGATTTTGGAGCGTTCTATATGGTTTTAGACAGTTCTAAATGATTCTGGAGCGCTCTAAATTATATTGGAGCGTTCTAAATGATTCTAGATAGTTCTAAATGATTTTGGAGCATTCTAAATGGTTTAAGACAGTTTTAAATGCTTGTGGATTGTTCTAGATACAGTTCTAAATGAATCTGGATCATTCTAAATGATTTCTGGAGCGTTCTAAATGGCTCTAGACAATCCTAAATGATTTTGAAGCGTTCTAAATTATTCTGGAGCTTTCTAAATGGTTTTAGAACGTTTTAAATGCTTCTGGATTGTCTAGAGACAGCTCTAGAAAGTTCTAAACGAATCTAGAGCATTCTAAATGATACTGGATTGTTCTAAATGTTTTAAGACAGTTTTAAATGCTTGTGGATTGTCTAGAGACAGTTCTAAATGAATCTAGAGCATTCTAAATAATTCTGGATTGGTTTAAATTGCTTGGAAACGTTCTAAATGCCTTCAGACAGTTTTAAATGCATCTGGATTGTTTCAGATTGCTCTAAGACAGTTCTAAATGAATCTAGAGCATTCTAAATGATTCTGGATTGTTCTAAATTGCTTGGAAGCGTTCTAAATGGCTTTAGACAGTTTAAAATGCATCTGGATTGTTTCAGATTGCTCTAAGACAGTTCTAAATGAATCTAGAGCATTCTAAATGATTCTGGATTGTTCTAAATTACTTGGAAGCGTTCTAAATGGCTTTAGATATTTTAAAATGTATCTGGATTATTTCAGATTGCTCTAAGACAGTTCTAAATGATTCTAGAGCATTATAAACGATTCTGGAGCATTCTTAATGATTCTAGACCGTTTTAAATGATTCTAGGAAGTTCTAAATGATTCCTATCCGATTTTTCTTTAAATAAAATAAAAAAAAATCATTTAATATCTAGGTTGTTTCTAATTTTCTCATCGATAAACGTTTATAATTTTATAATTTTACACATTTGCATGCGCATTTCGCTATTTTTTTTCAAAACGCATTTTCCAAAACTCTGCTCTAAATTTATGGCCGAATTCTGAGAAAAGTACAGATTTCCGATGAGAAAAGACAAAATTTTATAAAAATATCTGGTGTAATAAGAAAATTACGATAGAAAAGTTTTTTTTTTTCTAAAACTGTACCACCCTGTAGCTCGAAAACTAAGAGGTTTAGGACATGAATTTTTCTTCTTAAAACCATCCAAACATTCACCATCCTGAAGCACATCGGTACTCGATAAATCACCACCCTGTAGATAAAGATTATTCCGAGACGCTCTCAGAATTCACCCATAAGTTTTTAACAGTTTTCTCTCTAATTCGTACAATTCTACCAATCGCCCGTTTTTCTCTCCACCATGCGCAGAACCCACAAGGACAATCTGAAGCTCGTCGACGCGCAGGAGGAGCAGCGCATGCTCCGCTGCCAGAAGGAGTTCCTCGAACTCGAACTCCGCAAATTTCGCAGAAAAAAGCTGATGGCCTACCATCAGCTCGAGCAGGAGCTGCTGCGCCAGGAGATGAACAAGCGCCAGAACCAATTGGAGCAGGCGCACGCCATGCTGATGCGCCACCACGAGCAAACGCAGGAGCTGGAGTACAGACAGCAGAAGGCCGTGCACGCGCTGAGAGAGGAACAGGTGAAGAACCAGCACGACACGGAGCTGGCCAATCAGGCCGAGTACATGAAGAGGACGGAGCGCGAGATGCGCAAGAAGCACGCCTTGGAGTTGAAGCAGCAACCTAAATCGTTGAAGGTACGTGGGTTTTGGATTGGTCGAACGATTGAATGAAGGTTTAAATGATTGGACGAGAGGGTGAGGTGAAAAGTTCAGGCAGACAGACAAGAAAACAGACAAGACAAACAGACAGACAAGAAAACTTCTTGTCTCTCTGGGGGGGCGTTTTAGATTGTTCTTGACAGTTCTAAATGATGCTCGGACATTCTAGGTTGTTTTAAATGATTCTGGAGAACGTTTTAGACAGTTCTAAATGATTCTGGAGGACGTTCCAGATTGTTCTAGACAGTTCTAAATGATGCTCGGACATTCTAGATTGTTCTAAATGATGCTCGGACATTCTAGATTGTTCTAAATGATTCTGGAGGACGTTTCAGATTGTTCTAGATAGTTCTAAATCGTTGAAGTTACGTGGTTTGATTGGTCGAACGATTGAATGAAGGTTTAATTCATTGGATGAGAGGGTGAGGTGAAAAGTTCTGTACACTGGGCCTGGTAGGGTGGAAGAGCGCCATTTTTGTTCCCTCTGGGGGGCGTTCTAGATTGTTCTTGATTGTTTTAAATGATGATCGGGCGTTCTAGACCGTTCTAAATGATGCTCGGGCATTCTAGATTGTTCTAAATGATTGGGAGGCGTTTTAGACAGTTCTGAATGATTATGGTTATAATTGATTCTGGGGACATTTTAGATAGTTATAATTGATTGATTATGGGGGCGTTCTAGATAGTTATAATTAATTCTGGAGGCGTTCTAGATTGTTCTGGATAGTTATAAATGATGCTCGGGCGTTCTGGACAGTTATAAATCATTCTCGCGGGCTTTCTGGATTGTTCGAGACACTTTTAAATGATGCTCGACTGTTAAGACAATTCTAAATTATCCTGGGAAGCGTTCTAGATTGTTCTAGAGAGTTATAAATGATTCTGGGAGGCGTTCTAGATAGTTATAGTTGATTATGGGGGCGTTCTAGATTGTTCTGGATAGTTTTAAATGATACTCGGCAGTTCTAGACAGTTCTAAATCATTCTGGGGGGCTTTCTAGATTGTTTTAGGCAGTTTTAAATGATACTCGGCTGTTCTAGACTATTCTAAATTATCCTGGGAAGCGTTCTAGATTGTTCTAGAGAGTTATAAATGATTCTGGGAGGCGTTCTAGATTGTTCTAGATAGTTTTAAATGATACTCGGCAGTTCTAGACAATCCTAAATGATTCTGGATCGTTCTAAATGATTTTAGAAAGTTCTAAATGACTATGGACCATTCTAAATGGTCCTGAATCGTTCTAAATTGTTTTACACGATTCTAAATGATTCTGGAGCGTTCTAAATGACTATGGAGCAATCTAAATGGTTCTGAAGCGTTCCAAATAATTCTGGAGCCTTCTAAATGATTCTGGAGCGCTCTAAATGTCATTGAAACGTTCTAAAAGGTTCTAGATAATTCCAAACGATTGTTGTACGTTATTAATGATTTTAGACAGTTCCAAATGATTCCGGAGCGTTCTAGTTTGTTCTAATCACTTCTAAACGATTCATTCCCAGAACTTTTTACCCTACCCTCGTAATCCAGTCGCGAACATCGAACTAAAAGTACATACTTTGTGTTCCTGTAGCAAAAAGAGATGCAAGTGCGCAAACAGTTCAGGGAAACGTGCAAGGTGCAAACGAAGCAATACAAAGCCCTAAAGGCCCAAATATTGCTCAACACGCCCAAAGAAAACCAGAAGGCGGTCATCAAGAAGCTGAAAGAGGAGCAACGTCGCAAATTGGCGCTGTTGGGCGACCAATACGAGCAGAGCATCGCCGAGATGCTGCAGAAGCAGTGCATCAAATTGGACGAAAGCCAAGAGGTAGGTTTTTTTTTTTATTTTTAAAAATAACCGCTAGAAAAAAAAATTCCTGTCCGAGAAGCCGAGGTCGTTTGAATTTCATGTATTAATACGAGATAACTCGTAGTGTGGTGTCCTAGACAAGAACGCAGTATGTTCATGTTTTAATTTAATAACGTCACGAGATATTTTGCTATTTTGGGGAGGTAAAAAAATACTTTTGAATAATCTCTTGTAAATAAAATTAATAATGATTAAGCACGTCGATTTTTAATAACGTCACGTGATTTTTTTAATGCGGCGTTGCCAAGTTGTGGAAAATTTCTTCCAGTTTCACAATTCCGGATTCAGTTCATTTGAATCGCATTGATCACTACGAGATAACTCGTAGCGTGGCGTCTTAGACAAGAACGCTGTAGGTTCCTGTTAATTTAATAACGTCACGTGATTTTTTTAATGCGGCGTTGCCAAGTTGTGGAAAATTTCTTCCAGTTTCACAATTCCGGATTCAGTTCGTTTAAATCGCATTGATCACTACGAGATAACTCGTAGCGTGGCGTCTTAGACAAGAACGCTGTAGGTTCCTGTTAATTTAATAACGTGACGTGATATTTTTAATGCGGCGTTGCCAAGTTGTGAAAATTTTCTTCCAGTTTCGCTATTTTTGGGGAGAGAAAAAAAACTTTCGAATAATCCCGTGTAAATAAAGTAAAATACGATTAAACACGTTGAGAATGCGGCGTTGCCAAGTTGTGAACATTTTCTTCCAGTTTCACTATTTTGGGAAGAAAAAAAAATACTTTTGAATAATACCGTTTTTCATAACTTTGACGGATGATTCACTCTGTGAATGTTTGGAACTGTGGTATAGTACGAGTTATCTCGTAGATCGGCGACAATCGACGGTTTTTTTTTTGTTTTTTTAATTATTATTGTAATAAATTTTTATCGTTTTCTTTCTGCGCAGTTGCAATGCCAGCAAATGCGCGAACGTCTTCGCTACGAATTGGAGATTCTGATCGCCTATCAGAGCAAAAATAAGATGCAGGCGCAGGCGCAGAGAGATCGAGAGAAGAACGAGCTGCAGGAGAGAGTGGCCGTCAGACGGGCATTGTTGGAACAGAAGGTCGGTATATAGAATTTATATAAACTGTGTTATTTGTAAGATGCTACATAGGGATTCCTTGTACAAATGTGTCAAAAGCAAGTTAACTTTTTTTTGCCAAATAACGTTCATAAAAAATAATAACAGATTTGGAAAGATCGTAAAAAATATGTCGAATTGGACATTAAATTTTTCGTTAAATTCGTTCTGGTTTATTAAAAAAATGTATAATTAAGTTGAAAAAGTCATTCGTCATAAATAAATCCTTTTTATAACACTATCTAATTTTTTGTAAAAGGCGCGGAGTTTAAAGAGATGTTTAACGCTCTTCATTTTGAAAAAAATAATCTTGAACTAATGTAGTTCAAACCGCGCTTGGTCCAAAGTTTTTTTTGTGTTTTTTTGGTTTTTTGTCAAAAAAAATGTTAAATAAAAGTATTTAAAATAAGACAAGCTTATTTAGGATAAAAATTTATTTTTATTTAATTGAATGTTCAGACAATTTTTTATTGGGTTTTCTAAAAAATAAGGTTGCTGAATATCAACCAAGGACAGAAGAGTAATTGAAAAATATTATTACTAACGAATGTCAAAAAATTAGTAGAATTAGAATAATGATTAGTAAAACTAATCGTAATTAATAATGTACGGCGGAACTTTTATTATCGTTTGGGACTGTTTAGCAGAAAATGGAAAACAATTTGAACATTTAATTAAATAAAAATGAATTTATATCCTAAATAAACTTGTCTTATTTTAAATACTTTTATTTAACATTTTTTTAGACAAAAAAACCAAAAAACCGAAAAAAAAAGTTTGATTATTTTATCAAATTGCAGAGCCTTAAACATCTCTTTTAACTCCTCCCCTTTTACAACAAATTAGATAGTGTTATAAAAAGGAATTATTTATGACGAATGACTTTTTCAACTTAATTATACATTTTTTTAATAAACCAGAACGAATTTAAGAAAATTTAATGTCCATTTCGACATATTTTTTGCGATATCTTCAAATCTGTTATTATTTTTTATGAACGTTATTTGGTAAAAAAGTTAGCTTGCTTTTGACACATTTGTACAAGAATCCCTATGTCCCATCTTATAAATAACACAGTGTATGTATACAGGGTGGCCCGTTGAAAAGGAAACTGAAGCGTCCTTTTCGATGGGTCGCCCTGTATACAGTGTGTTGATTAATTGAGTGGCGATACTTCGGGATGTGAATGTTTGGATGATTTTATGAAGAAAAGTTTATATCGATATATGTCCTAAATCTCTTAGTTTTAGAGCTACAGGGTGTTACAGAAGGGGAAAGTATCAGGGAAAAGTATCGAATCCCATTAAAACGTACACGCCCGATCGGAAAATCGACGTTTCGACTCGATAAAATTTCATCTTCAGTGTCAAAGGAGAGAAATAAACTTTTTTGTTTTTCGGTTTTTCGCATTTTTCTCGAATAGAGTTCGTTCAATTGGCTTCAAAATCTCCCAAAAGATTCTCCATCGGTTCCCTTAACGTTCGTATATAGCTGTTTTTCAGGGAAAATTCGTTTTGGCAAAATATCGGGGAAAATAGTTTTCAAAGGTTTTCGAAAAATCGAAGTAACTCGTAAACGGTAAGATTTGCGAACATTTTTCATACTTGCAAAAAAATTGGAAATTCTTTTTTCCATCCGATGAAACATACCGGGTGTTTCTCCGATTCGTACTTTTCGAGTTTTTTCCAAAAAAACCGTTTTTAAATTGTCTTTAAGTTTCTAACGCCAAATCTCGGAAACTATCATGTTTTAGAAAATTTTGAAAGCGATAATTTATAGATACGACATTTTTCTATCTACCACGTTTTTTTCCCATTTTTAAAAATTTTATTTATCGAATAATAAAGATTTTTCGAAATCGGTGCATATTTTGCCGCTGTCGTAGAACCGGAAGTGAAAACTTTCAAATCGACGATGACGTACGATCATTCCCGAATGAAAGACAAAATGGATGACATTTGAGTTTCTATGGAAACGATGACATTTAATTTGATATACAGGGTGATTTTAACTTAAGGAAATCGGAAAAATTGATATACTGGGCTGTTTTTTTTTATCTTAAGTGAAAAATTATTTTAAATTAAATTGAAATATACTACAGGACGTTTTTTTTCCCTAAAATTGTAACTCTCTGTATAGCTCGAAAACTCGAGAGAGGTTTAAAACATACATCGATATAAACATACTTAAAATCATCTAAATATTCACATCCTGAAGTATCGGTACTCGATTAATTGACGCCCTGTATATGGTAAATTAATAAAAGTACTAAAGTAAAAATATATATCGTTTATTCTATGTAGATGAGCGCCGAAAATACGAGGTTCATCGAAGAGAGGAGCGAAAGGATCAGGATATTGCACGATAAACAGGAGAAGGAGCTGGAGGAGTTCGACGACGAGTCCGTCACCTTGGGATTTAGGTAACTAGATTTAGATGACGCTATTTAATTAATTTATTATTTTAAATACTGAATAAACGGGAGATTTTCGATGAGAAATCGATAAGAAAACGAGTATATTCGATGAAACTTTAGCAGTAGGGTAGAGTAATGGAGTGCAGGGTGGAGGGTAGGGTTTTTCTTATGACTACTTAAATTTAGGGTAGGATAGGGTAGTGAAGTAGGATAAGATGGGGGTTTTTCCTCTCCTTAAAAGTAGGGTATTTGAGTGTAGGATAGTGTAGAGCAAGGGTAGGTTAGGGAATAGAGTTTTTGTGCTTTTTTTTTTCAATTTACATGCTCTTTAAAAGTAGGGTAGGGCACAGGTAGGGCTTTTTTCAAGCTCTTTTAAATGGTACAGGTAACTATAAAGTAGGATAGGATAGTGGAGTGTAGGGTAGGATTTTTTGAGGGTAGGATTTTTAAATTGTTGGGATGATCGAGCTTTTTAGATATCCATTTTTTATCTTGAAGGCCAATTTACACTTTTCTAAGGCTGCTGTTTTGTTGATAGGTAAAATTGGTAGAGAATCATATAATTCACTAGTTCTAGTTTCACATGGTATATTGTATGTATTTTTTATAGCTTTATTTTGCAATCTTTGAATTCTATTCAAGTTAAATTTTGATGTATTTGACCATATTGGTATTAAGTAGAGAAGGGGAACTTTAGGAACTGGTTGGTGAAATCGGGCATTAGTCTTGAAATAAACCAAGGAAATTACCTCCTTTTCGGATATGCACGATATTTACATACACTGTTGGAAATTTAATTTCGCATAATAGGGAAATCAATGTTAAATTCTTAACCGGCTGAAATCCAGTCTACCAGTATACATTTCAATAGAACGTCGCGATGAATTCTAATAAATTTAATTGTTCTACTGGATCGCACGCCGCGATTTGTAGAGGTACAAAGTTATTTGTGTTAGGTATGAAGTACAAAATTATTTAGAAACTACATTTAATAGGTTTTTTGGGGATATTTCAAAAAATGTGTGTATCGGTAGGTACAGTTTTGAAACAGCAACAAATTTTGTTGAAATAAGGGAAAAAATAATTCAATTTTCAGCTAGAATTATACCTCAGCTCAGTAATATGGGATGACATCTGTATGACAGGTTTGGCTAAAGTTTAGCAGAAAGCGGTGGACTATTTTTTAGAGTTCTTTTATTTTCTGTTTTAAAATAATCTTTAAGTTTATTTTTGGAGTTTCCTTTTTATTATTTTCTTAGAATTTACTTTCTCTTTCAAGCCATTGTGGCAAAAAGACATATCTACATAATTCTATTTTAATATTAGTGATATTTTTTCAATAAATTATCGTTTAAAAATTCTCATTTCTTTTTAATCGACTCGACGTTCACCCATCCAAATCCGTTTTGATACTGTCGAAGTGTCGAAACCGTCGAAATTATTTGATTTTTAATCTAACCAAGCCAAAGCGCGGTGTGAAGTCCAGTAGAACAATTAAATTTATTAGAATTTATCACGACATTCTATTGAAATCTACACTGGTAGACTGTATTTCAGCCGGCTAAGAATTTAACATTGATTTCCCTATTATGCGAAATTAAATTTCTAACAGTGTATACCTTGCATAAATAAATTATGTATAATCGATTAATTTGATATATATTTTTTTCTCTGTTTCGTAATAGCGCCCTCGCAATAGCGGAAATGTCGTTGGGTTTGAACGATCTGTCGAGGAACAGTTACGACGATGACGGGAGTCTGTCGGGATCGATGCTCAGCCTGGCGCATTCCAACAGCTCGGCCAGTTTTCCACCGAATTCCGTCTGATTTGGGCGCCAGGAGAGAGAGAGAGACAGCGAGTTTTTTTTTTATATATATATATATATACATACATACATACATACAATACATGCATACAATACATGCATAAAAGCGGTAAAGTAATATCGGTATCGTCGTATAAAAGGTAGAAAAAAAAAATATACAGTGTGTCCACGGATGGGGTTGCCTATAGGGGAAAATTTTATTATTCATTTTACGACAAAAAGTCATTGTTTATAAAAAGTTTTGCTTCTTTTAAAAATGAGAATAACACTGAAAAATCTTAGATTGGATCTACGGGGTGTTGCCAAATTAAGAAAACATGAAAATACCTCAAGAGAGAAGTACCATTATTTTTTATTTTACACAAAATTTTTATAAAAGAAAGTTGTTTATAATCTAAAATAAAGCCTGAACACAAATTTTCAAATTAAAATTCCAATTTTGTGTGTCCACGGATGGAGTTGACCAGAGGAGACAATGATTATTAATTTTACGAAAAAAAAGTAATTCTTTATAAAAAAAGAGCAATTAAAGAGAGATTAAAAGCATTTTTTTGTAAATAATAATGTAAGATAATAAATAAATTCTTTCTTTATGTAAGATAATAAAAATTTTTTAGTTCTTTCTTGAAATTTTTTCCTGTTTCTTAATTTACTAACACCCTATACGTCTTATTTAATGTTTTGATATGTGAATTTCATTTTCTCGACAAGTTAATTTTTTTATATTTTTTTGTTTAATTGTTTATAAATTTTTTTGCTTCTTTTAAAAATGAGAATAACACTGAAAAATCTTAGATTGGATCGACAGGGTGTTGTCAAATTAAGAAAACATGAAAATACCTCAAGAGAGAAGTACCATTATTTTTTATTTTCCACAAAATTTTTATGAAAGAAAGTTGTTTATAATCTAAAACAAAGCCTGAATACAAATTTGCAAACTTGAATTCAAATTTTGTGTGTCCCTAGATAAAGTTGAGCTGATAAGAAAAATGGTTATTATTAATTTTACGACGATTTTTTCTTTATAAAAAATTTAACTTGTCGAGAAAATGAAATTCACATATCAAAACATTAAATAAGACGTATAGGGTGTTAGTAAATTAAGAAACAGGAAAAAATGTCAAGAAAGAACGAAAGAATTTTTATTATCTTACATAAAGAAAGAATTTATTTATTATCTTACATTATTATTTACAAAAAAATGCTTTTAATCTCTCTTTTAATGCTCTTTTTTATAAAGAATTACTTTTTTTTCGTAAAATTAATAATCATTGTCTCCTCTGGTCAACTCCATCCGTGGACACACAAAATTGGAATTTTAATTTGAAAATTTGTATTCAGGCTTTATTTTAGATTATAATCAACTTTCTTTCATAAAAATTTTGTATAAAATAAAAATTAATGATACTTCCCCCTTGAGGTATTTTCATGTTTTCTTAATTTGGCAACACCCTGTAGATCCAATCTAAGATTTTTCAGTGTTATTCTCATTTTTAAAAGAAGCAAAAATTTTTATAAACAATGACTTTTTGTCGTAAAATGAATAATAAAAATTTTTCTTCTATAGGCAACCCCATCCGTGGACACACTGTATATATTATGTACATATTTGTTTGGTACGAGTAATGTGCGGTTTTTTGTGCGGAGTTTGTGCGAATTTGCTCGGACTATAATGATCGAATGGTTTCGTAACTGAGGGTTATTTTATACGGGGTGTGTGTGTAAATAAAGGCGAAAAAATTTAAGGGGTGATTCTGTGATGAAAATTAAGGTGGGTGAATTTTTTTTGAAAAAACCCTCTCCTGAAAAGTTATACCCCTTCGAAGATTGGATAAAAAAATTGGGTTTTCTTCTTTATTTTCCCTGTATATTAAGCGAAATTCGGGGAATATTATTTGACAATGAATCAATGCGTTTTTGAAATTTTTTTCAACCCTGAAGTATGCTTAGAAAGGGTTAAAATAATCAACCCCTAATACATTTTTTCTTACAACTTTTTTCCGGATGGCAATTTTTCTTTTAAAAAAATATGGTCAAAAAGCCCGATTCATTTACCAATTTTTTTATCTCTACAAGTTTTTTGAAAAACTCGAGCATTTACCAGAAAAAAAAAATAAATGTATTGCGAGCTCACGTTAAATAGCATTTTATTGAACAAAAAAATTGGTTTTTCTTTTTTATCTCCCCTGTATATTAACCTAAAGACGCGAAACTCGGGGAATATTATTTGTCGATGAAACTACACGTTTTGGAATTTTTTCAACCCTTAAATATGTTTAGAAGGGGTTGAAATAGTCAACCCCTAAGACATTTTCTCTTGCAACTTTTTTTCGGATGGAAATTTTTCGTTTAAAAAAATATGACTGAAAAGCCCGATTCATTTACCAAATTTTTTATATCTACAAGTTTTTTCAAAAACTCGAGCATTTTCGAGAAAAAATAATAAATATACTGCACGCTCATATTAAATAGCATTTTATTGAACAAAAAAATAGGTTTTTTTCAAAAAAATTATACCAAGTAATCACCGTAGAATCGCTCCTTAAATTTTTTCGGCGTTATTTAGATACACCCTGTATTTTTCCAAATTTTAAACATGGCAACGTTGCTTATTTGCATCTTAAACAAGATGAAAATGAGATTAGTTTTATGTAGTTCTTTTTCTTCATAATCATCATCATCATCTTCTTCTTCTTCCTCCAAATTGTACGAGCCTACTCGATTATTAAATAGAAAAAAATTAGTGGTTCAATTTAGTAAAATGCAGAAATTTTTGTATACCCCCTGTATATATCAAACTTTTCACTCCAGGTTTAAATTTAAATACCATTAATTTTGTACCCGAGGCCTCAATGACGAAAAAACTAACCCCATTTTCACTTTGCTTCAAATAAGCAACGTTGCCACTTTTAAAAAAAAATCGGAAATCTAGGTAATAATAAAATCGTTGGTTACAAAACCATTTGATTATCGAGTAATTGCGATTAGCTCTGTATAAAAGATTTACGTAATTTTATCGAGCAATTAATTTGTCTCTAGTTTCGCGAAAATGTCGTTTTTTCGTTTTCGGAAAATTCCACGTTATTTTCTTCGTTTTTTTTTTTTTTTAATAATTTCCTCGCTAATTTTAATGACATTAAAATTAAGATTTATACATACACCTAGACGTTTAATTAACAATAACCAGAAAAAAATAAATAATAATAAAAGACTAATTTGTACCAAAATGAACGTTTTTCTTTTCTTTGGTGCCTACGCTTACTTAGATGTATCGAATATTGAAAAAAAATAAATATCGCCGAAGATTCTCGTTTCACAATTCCGGTCCGAGAAGCCGAGCTAGTTAAATCGCCGTGTATCACTACGAGATAACTCGTAGTGCGGCGTCCTGGGCAGTCTACGAGTTATCTCGTAGTTGGCGGTCGACGTGTTAAATTTATTCTTGGCGATTTTTTATAAACGATTAGATAAAATGAATTATCTGTGAGATAACTAGCACTTTTATGGGGTATCTAACAGATAAATGTTTCTCTATCTACTATTTAGTTTGAGGTCGTTTGAATCGCATGTATTAATACGAGATAACTCGTAGCGCGGCGTCCTGGACGAGAACGCGATGACTACGAGTTATCTCGTAGTCGGCAGTCGACGCTTTTTGACGCTCGTTATTTTTTAAAATTCGATTTAAGTGATATTATGTGAAAAAACACACTCGAAATGAAATGTCGCCAAAAAGTTTCTATTCTTTTTTTTTGTACATACTATATAAATATTAAAATATAATTTGTTGTATTCGCCTAAGTATCCTTAAATAAAATTAATTGAAAAAACGCCCTGTATAAATTTGTAATTTCGTTAGTTAATATTTTTTTCTAATTTTTTTTATAGCATTGTAGATAAGTTTTCGATCTAAATAGCAGTATTTATTGTAACTTTTTTTTAGTTTATTGTACATGTAAATACCAAATGTTGTTGGACAGGCTAAGGACAGATTAAAACAACAATTCTACTAATTATAATTTTTTAACCAAAAAAAAATAATTGCACATTAATTTCTCACTATAATCCAATAATGATTATAAAATGAAAAAAAAAACAGTTCAATCCAGTATTTATTTGGAATATACTAAAGCTTGTGGAATCGTAAGGGGTAGAAATAAAATACTGACCTTTGATATACAATGTATTCAGGTAAGTTTGTAGCTGGATTGGCAAGTTAGACAAGACCGGTATTTGACAGGATGCGAAACAACTTGCTGTACGTGGGTAGGGTGAAAAGTTCTCGGCCTGGATCATTTAGAACTGTCTATAACAATTTAGAACGATCCAGAATCAATTAGAACTGTCTAAAACCATTTAGAACGCTCCAGAATCATTTAGAACTGACTGGAACAATCTACAACGATCCGGAATCGTTTAAAACCACTTAGAAAACTCCAGAATCACTTAGCACTGTCTAGAACCGCTTAGGAAGCTCTAGAATCATTCAGAACGCTCTAGAACCATTTAGAACGCTCCAGAATCATTTAGAACTGACTGGAACAATCTACAACGATCCGGAATCGTTTAAAACCACTTAGAAAACTCCAGAATCACTTAGCACTGTCTAGAACCGCTCATTCAGAACGCTCTAGAACCATTTAGAATGCTCCAGAATCATTTAGAACTAACTGGAACAATCTACAACGATCAGGAATCGTTTAAAACCACTTAGAAAACTCCAGAATCATTTAGAACTGTCTAGAACCGCTTAGGAAGCTCTAGAATCATTCAGAACGCTCTAGAACCATTTAGAATGCTCCAGAATCATTTAGAACTAACTGGAACAATCTAGAACTATACAGAATCGTTTAGAACCACTTAGAAAGCTCCAGAATCATTTAGAACTGTCTAGAACCGCTTAGGAAGCTCTAGAATCATTCAGAACGCTCTAGAACCATTTAGAACGCTCCAGAATAATTTAGAACTGACTGGAACAATCTAGAACGATCCGGAATCGTT